AGTGTGTAAGTTAGTGCAACAGATTTTGTTTCACCTTTTTGCAGTCTAGATAAATAGATAGCCATTATCACACTTTAAGCACGTGTTTTTATCATACCAATTCAATTAAAGCGTTATCTCAGGTATTCGTACCGGTATTATGATTACATAGAGCAGTAATTTAGTTATGAACTATAAGAGCTTACCCATGCCACGCACTTTCGAGCGCTACACTCTTCTGGCCCATGAACATCCCTCCGATTCAAATTTTGGCCCGTGGCTAATCAAGTTTGGGAACCCCTGATTTACATATTTATCCTCGGGTGAAGAAAGTTGATAAGGCAGCTTAATTACTAGTATACAGCAAACCACAGTCTCTCGTCCAGTTACCTGTCCATCTTGAGTACTTTGCCAGATGTATGGACTTAATGGTAAGGGAAGCTGTAACCAAGACGCAGTTACGTGGACCACTCTGTGACGACAAGGAGTTCACAAAGATTTCTCACATGGAGATAAAAATCTAAATCTGCTAAATTTCTTAAGATTCCAAGCTGCTGGGTACAGAGATGAGTTGGAATATCAAATAATTAATCGATCGGAAGCGGAAAAGTGGCCGTGTTCGGGTTATGTCAAAAAATTACAACGAAAAGATGGAACATTTTACTATTACAACAGAGCAAGGGAATGCCAAGATAAAGAAGTTCACAAAATCAAGTTATACAAATATTAAATTTTTTTTACAAATTTTTACACAATTTTTCTGTATGAAATGGTTCAAAATGAAATCGATATTGAAGCAAATCTGTGTGTGTAGCTAGATGGATTTTATTTGAATTCCGTTGTCATGGTCCAGTTCATATAATTCTGTCAAGGATTCAATGAAGCATAATTGGCAGAATTAACATCTTGTTATTAGTTCAATCAAGCTTGACTGGCAACATATTATCCTTTCATTCATTGGCTGACCTATATTCATGGTCTAGTGACCATAATTCTGTCAAGAAACCAATGAAGCATGGGTGGCAGCATCAAAATCTCTCCGAATAGGCTAGCATATATATCATTCTTTGGGCTAAGAGTTGGCCTGTGAATGAAGCGTCTTCTAGACGGTTTATAATTCTGTTCGTTTTCACATTTTAATATTATTTTGAGAAGAACGCCCATAGCGTCTTCTAGACAGTTTATAATTTCGTTCGTTTTCACATTTCAATATTATTTTGAGAAGAACGCCCATATATATCAAGCTTTCTCTCTTCCTATTACATAAGCAAACTTCAGGGCTCAAAATCAACTTCTATTTCATGGTGTGTCTGCTTTTTAATTTTAGTTTCCAATATTTTACAAATATTACTTAGAATCTGCATGCAGGGATATTGTTACTTATCGATTTTAATCGATAGGTGTGTTGATAGGTATTTGTCTGTCTGTCTGTTAGATGCACGCGATATCTCACGAAAGCGAGATTGAATCTGCTCCAGACTTTGCATGTGCATTCATCATATGTCGGACCAGAAGCCTATTGATTTTGGATGAATTATGTCGTATAATTAGCGAGTTATTAATTAATTAGTGATGGAACACAAAGTGTCACTATGGAGTGAGAGCGCTCTCTTGGGGGATCCCCCAACTTTCGATCGATAAGTCTTCGGTCTCTGACCGATATTCTCGTTTGTTGAGTTACGAGTCCTTTCTCCTTGTTTACTTTCTACCTCAGATCTGTATGTGGCCAGTTCACAAGGATGCTTGATCGAGATGGTATTAACATGATAAACGAGAAGACTTATCGATTGAAACTGCGGTTTCGATTCATGACTCTATAGTGACACCGGGTGTTCCATCACTATTTAATTATTAACTCGCTAATTATACGACATAGTTCATCCAAAGTCAATAGGCTTCTGGTCCGAGATATGATGAATGCACATGCAAAATTTGGAGCATTCAACCTCGCTTTCGCGAGATATCACGTGCATCTAACAGACAGACAAATACCTCAATAAGAACAGCATAATTTCTTTCCATGAAATAGGAAGTACCGGTATATTCGCTATCATGTCCAACTTTTTCAAACAAAAGAAGATGCATTTATACAACAATAATTATTTATTGTTTGTTGTTATTTCAAGTTTCAGGGCATGTATATACTTTGCATATACGAGTATTATTAAATTGCCTGTTGAGAATATTTAATATAATTTTGGAGTGGTTGCAGAAATTATAACTTCGATTATCACGATTGCAAAAAATCTGAAATCACAAATCCGACCATTTCGATATCTTGAATTCCAATTAAATCAAGGCACGTTAATTTCAAAGTGCTATCTCATCAGACTTTTGGGTACTCCCGAAGTATGTGAACCAAGATGGCGGACACGGGAACCAGGTTAGGCCATAGTTTTTTTCAGATTTGCCTTATTTTAGTTCTATTGTGAGTTCGGGGACTAATCAAGTGACTCCTAAGGTATTTGAACCTGAAATTATGGCCTAACCCTAACCTGGGTTTGCACAAATAATTTATTTTCATTCCTGAGTTTGCCACTGTATTTTTTGTTTTATTTCAGTTTACCTACTTGTTGGAATTAATCTGATAATAGGTTCAGATCTATATCTTAATTGCGTGTAAAATTTATGTTGCATGGGTGTTTTTTACATTTCATGGAAAATTCCTTCTGGGGATATTTCACCCGAATACAATTCAACTCTATCATACATCAAGTGACTTTTGTATAATGTTTTTATTGTTCGACTTGTTTAAGTATCTTATTTTAGAACTTAATTGTGAAAAACGATGCCCAGAAAATCCCACCCATGGAAGCTTTCAATGTAGGGATGATGAATTTTGTATAACTGGAATATTCCATGAAGGGACTTTCAGAAGAAGGAATTTTTCCTAATACCATGAAAATATCTCAAAACGTAATTTTGATAAAAATTTTTGTGTTTTATATCTTGTTCAAAATTTTTGTTCTTTGCTTTTACGCTGCTTTTGATTTGTGTTTTCTCAGTTTTTTGAGTTAAATTTAAGTTGATTTTTGAGTATTGAATTGTGGGAAATGGATGAAGAAAGAAAATGTTTGTTTATTCAACAAAGGATAAATCTCTTATGTGGTCATAAAACAAAACCTTTATGTGATGACAATGAGGGAAATGAGAGGGGTGATAGTGATGTAATAAAAACAGAGGAGGATATAAAAGACAAAACTGATGGAAACGAAAAACACTCAGAAAGATTGGATACTTGTGGACATTTGATACAAATTTTGGATTCTAATAGAAAGCAAAATCAACGACCCATGACTGAAGTCACTGATCCAGAAAAAGGAAGCAGGAAATACAATACTGACAGAACATTTCAAACTTTTGGTGATAATAATGATGGAGTGGTATTTGGGCCAGAAATGAAAAACGATAAAGCAGAAAAATCTGTCCCTCAAGAACTCGTTAATCGACTAAAAACTGAAAATATCCTTCACCTTGCAAAAGAAGCCAGTCAGACAAAAATTCACGACCCCAAAATATGTAAAACTTGTCTCAAAAAAGAAGAAACACTTGCTGAATATGAATTTTTACGCAGACGAAAAACGAAACTTGAAAGTGCTCTTTTGGATCGTAAAATTGATGACGTCGTACACACAACTGACACTGTGCTCATGATCGCCGATCTTGCGAGAACTTTACCGAAACCGACGGAGGACCGGCAAATTATTTGGGACAAATTGTTGAGAAGGAATGATTTATGACGAATCCCCATCCAGTTTATGCACTTGAATATTCATCCGCTACGCTAAACCAAAAAAATGCAATGGCTTTTTGATTGAAATCAATCATTAAAGATCGATCACTCTATTCATATCGTTGCGAACCCCCTATGCAGTCATCACGGACTCCCAGGGGGCCAAGGACCCCAGATGTAACCCCATGATCAACTCAACTCGAGTCTTTTTTTCGACACTGCACTGCTACCCGGGAGAGGCCGTTATTCGCTGTATAATTAAGTCGTCTTGTCGGATCTATGACAAATTTAACATGAAGAAGTGAATACTTTATCTCAATGGTATGGAGGCAAAGCCTAATGACTAACAATGTCAGCTCAATGATAAAAGAACTGTACCGAATGTCATATGAACGTGTTCCCATAAAATACAAAAAACAGATTTGAGGCAAAACATCATGCCCAACAAGACTTTATGAACGAAAATTGTTTTTAAATGAAAGTAAAAATTACACTACTAATGCATCTGAGAAAGCCCTGCGATTAGTGGTTTGTGCAAATTCTGTGGAGGTTAATTATGTGAAAAATGATTGCTGAGATTTTGCCATCATAAGTAAGTTCACCTCCAATAGTCCCAAATAACTAGTTGACAACTTTCCATACCGTGAGAATTTTCAGACATAATTATTTACATGCAGTATATGACTTTTATATTTGACTTCATTTGTTTATTTATATTTGCAGTTTCTACTCATCACTAGGGAGACTAGACTTAAAAAGTCAGAAATTCCGATGGAATATCCTGGATTGACGGGCCGAAGTTTAAACCACCCTGACATTAGAGCTAAGGTCTGGCCTGAAATGTTAATCATTATGTTCGGGTTGTGTCGGACTTCTCTATCGCTGACTTTTTTTAAATAAAATATATATGTTTATAAAAAAATATATACTAACACTTTTTGTGGATACTGAACAAAGGCACTTGTTATAAATCAGAGAAGGCGTAACGGACTTTTGACACCCGAAAATACTCTTCCAATACCTCACCGTACCCAGCTCGGGCCTTCAAATCCGGTTAATTGGTCGGTTTTTTTTTACCCACGGCCCCGTCCTAAGAATCCAGTGAATTAGTCGGGCCCAATCTTACCTCTACCTGACATACATTTGCCAACTTATGCTCACTCTCAAAAAACTTGATCGAATTAGCTGACTATCTCGACATCATTGGATCGTTACTCTACCATCGATTACTAACGGGAAATCTGCACTGCCACCAAATATTGGATGAACCATTAGTTTCTCCCACAGATGATTACAATCATTTTACCTTTATTATAAATTACAAGTATCGTTGCCTTGGCAACCACAAAAATGTACATGACCTACTGATAATAAATAAATATACAAGATAGCAGAGATCAAAATAAAACTTCTTTTCGCTCCATGGTGATCAAACTACATAAAAAGATCATTGATGCAGAACTGGACAGCAAGAGCACTTAATGAATAGATAGTTCAAAATGCAACTGATTGAGTTGATTGCTGCCACGAAGAGCATGGAGTGGGGACACTCAGAATAATCGCATATATATTGTTCCATAGTCAGTAGCTAGAGACAGTGATGCCAGATATGGGATCGATCGGAGATGGTCATAATCCCTTAGCTAGGAGCAATAAATACTAGGAGACTAAGGTGTGGTATATTTTGAGCATGGATTCGGATTCTTCTCATTAAAATTACTTGAGAATTATGGAAATAATACCCTAAAAAAGCAGGGATATGGAGACAGAATGGGAATTCAATCATTTTAAGCCAAACTTTCAACGTAATATAAAATTTCAGACTTAAGCTAAACAGACATTTAAAGAAGAAAAGAATTGTCTACGCCAAAGTTTTTGGGTACTCCCGTAGTATGTGTACCGGGTTAGGATGTAATTTTATTCTGATTTTCCTTATTTTAGTTCTATTACTAGTCCGAACTATCTGTGTTAGCCAGGATAGCCCCCTGCCTATAGGTTTCAGTCCCTTTACACAACTTGATGTAAAGTAGGCGAACAAAATCAGTTAGGCTACCTCCATATTGGTACACACACTTTTAAAGCGCCAGTTTTTGGTATCAAAATTTGATTTCCTCAAAATTCGAAGATAACATTTTCGCAACCAGGAGTTTTTCTAGCTCCACATCCCTGATAAAAAACTTAAGATATTTTGTTCAAAAGCTCACATGAAACCAATAATGAAAAATGATGTTTAAGATAAAATCAGACTTACTAATAGAATTTGCTCAAAGTAAGTTCACACTTACTCAGAAGTAATGCAGACTCACCTCTGAGTAAAGTTACGGGCACTCACTCAGAAGTAAAGGAGACTCCTTGAGTAAAGTTGATGCACCACTGAAATTCAAGTACTATTGATGAAACCATATAGAATTACTCTCACCCACTCAGAAAATTAATACCTGAGCAAAGTTACATATATGCAAGTACTATTGAATGTATATGGAATTATGGTTGTGCGTTACTCGCCCTAACTAACACTGAGCGAAGTTAAGGGCACCGAATGAAAAGTCAAAGGCTGTTGAAATTGTGGTAGCCAGATCTAATGGCTAACTGTTTGGAGAAAAAACATAGTACTTGATAATCCAGAAAATCATAATTCTAACAAGCACTGGGCTAAACATGACCATATCTTCAAAAAATACTCCAATATCTTGCAACTTTTCAAAAACACAAAATTGGAACGTGCTCGTCAAAACTTGCTCGTTCATTGGCAAAAAGTATTAAATAACATAATTTAAATAAGGATAAATAAAAGTACATGATGGCCTAGTGGTTAGCGCTTGTTGAGGTTAATTCAATGTCTTTCACATGATACAAGGCTCTGATACATGAGTTACTATTTTTGGAAAACCGCAATCTTCCTGGGACTGGATTGCCTACCCAGAGCAATGCCGCTCTCCACATGCAATTAATGACATGTAAGCGGCTGCTATATTTTTAGAGGAACCAGAATATCTCCATCGGCATGACCTACCCCAGGGCTAACTCAACTGTTCCTACAGAAGGTCTGCGCATAAAACTGAAAAAGTACTGGGGTTCGGTCTTCTGAGTGTGCTTGAAATATATTTCAGTAGAATACTACGACGCCGTGATAAATTCGAACACTAATGATTCTTCGACTCATTATAATTGGTTATTGTTGATTATAGTATCAGTTCTTTTTGCATATAGCAAGTGCAACTATGAGCAAATGATAAAAAAAAAACTTCCGGAACTACAAAAAAAAATCATTCAGTAGAAGCCTTCAAATTCAAACCTAACTGAACCAATTCTGCAAAATAAATACGATCTGCATCGAATACTCAAAAAGTTCAGACCGCGGTCCGCCAGTTGAGTAGCCCTACCCGACTCATGCACGTGATGGGAATGGGATTTTAACCTGTGATTATTTAAATAAATAAACAAATCAAAGCTGAACTCAATAAAACATGCCACAAAATGGATTGTGCCGATATGAAATGAATGGGTGATAAATATTATTTGCCTGATTAAATTTGGCATTTAATATACATTTCAGGGATACGGAGTCCGAGTCGATTGACTCAATAGTGATAAAAAAAAATCAAGATTTTCTACAGAAACTCAAGAAGCATTAAGTTTACTAAACGTTCTTAACAATCTATTCAAGAAACGACAAAGTTTATGAAAATTTGATTTTCTGGAAGTTCCGAGCTCAGGTCGGAATTTTTTTACGTGTGTATAAATTTATTTTTCAACACAGAGTATATATTGTTTACAATTGTGTGTCGGATTATAAGTTTCACCAACCCAGACGATTGAAAAATTTTTCAAACTCGACAGATCTAGTCTTTTCTATGTGAAGAATATAACAAGCTGTTCCCATTTTGGGAAAAATGGATAAAAACAAGCCTTCAATATGAATTCCTGAAATATTGTCAATCAGGTCAAACTAATTGGTAAGTTACGAGGAACTACATGTGGGTGGGCCTGGAGCCTAGTCGCTTATATCAGGATTTTATTAAACCTGGGGTAACCAAAAACTCTAAGGGAATGATTTTGCAGGTAAAAAAAATTCACATTTTTCTCTACTAAACTACCAGTTAAATTTCAGTATTGAAGTTTGTATGCCAGTTGCAGCATAACTATTCTTCTCATTAATACATAGTTTGCTCAAAGTAAGTTCTGAATTTCAACTAAAAGTGGAAAGAGTAATGATAGAAGAATTGCAGGCTATATATTCAGGTTTATAATTGTGACAGTAAATCAAGGTAAACTGAATTAATCTGATAAATAATCATTTGACCATATCTTGGCAGAATCGGTAGTGCTCAATGAGTATAGAAATTATTCTGACAAGTTGTGCTTGATCAATTCTATAACCTATGCTATATATATATATATCATTCAACCTTATTTTGATAAAAAATCAATCAATCATGACCAGGCAGAATTTGCTCTATTCAATAAACATGGAATTATTCTGACAAGTCATGCTTGACCAATTCTATAGCCCCTATATCATTCAACTTTATTTTAATGAAAAATCAATCAACCATGACCAGGCAGAATTTGCTCCATTCAATAAACATGAAAGTATTCTGACAAGTCATGCATCATTGATTCCAGGGCATAATTCAAATATATTTAATATTTTAGATTCGTATATCAATCAAAACCGATTTTAAAAGATAAAAAGTCATTTCGACTACAACAGATTAATGGCAGATCTTGTGGGATGTTTGCACTCTTAACAAGGCTCTGAACAAGAGCATGCTCAGATTTGGGGAGGTGATTAAATTAAGAAAAAGAATAAAATCAATAAAATTATTTATGTTTCGGACCGGGAACCCTGACGGGTATCGGCGGTGATTTCTCGTTTCCAAAATTGGAGTGAGAAACGTCGAAAGAAGTGACACGGTTGGTTGATGATGATGTCGTCGTAACCACAACAACAGGATTATCACAATCCATCTCACTCGTTTCCATCGGTAAAAATTCTCCCCCCATCATTGTCTGAGACTGCCAAGGGTTGTCGACTTTCATTGGACTGAAAAAATGAAATATTTAAAATAAGGGGGGGTAGCATATAGGGACGGCTAAAACCAAATACTCTGCACTACAGCTATTTTTTTTAATGCTTTTCCATTTTATCTGCCACATTTCAAGCGAAAAAATACTACATTATGGAATGACATTTTCACAGAAAATTAACGTAGTAATTCAGAAGAGTTCTTTCAGAAGTTAAATGACGTCTATTTTACGTTCAATCATTAGAACTCAAATTTTTTTTATATCTCGCCCATATGCCTATAACTCAGAACAAAGCTATGCAATGGGGCCATTTGTGTATTTTTGAAAAACTGCTATGTGCTCCGTCAGCATTGCATAAACAATTTTTTATTCACCCTGAGTGGTATTTATAAATTTGAACCCGAAATTTTTGATCTGCGATGTTAATTCCGACACTATGACAACTAGGCACCCAAAAATTGCAAGTGGAACTATTTCTAAACTTGAAGTACCCGTGGCCGATCACCAAATCTGTCTGTTTTTGTATAAATAAAAACCGAACCTGAAAGGAGCTCCCGAGAACCTTCTGGGAGACCTGACCCTCGATGTAGGTTCATCATTGTCTTCATGAAGGCTCGCTAGAACTGATGGTGCAACGTAAGTAAAACCGTGGAATACCTGGAAAAAATCAGTGTTCACTTATACAGAAAAATTGAACAATCAATATTTTTTATTTGGGAACCTGAGTTTTAAGCTGTGAGCAGAAATGTATGTAAAATGCATTGAAATAGAATACAGTAATCACAGATTAAGAACTGATGGTGTGACATGAGTAAAACCGTGGAATGAATACCTTTGGTGTTCACCAAAGGGGATGATAGATTCAGAATGTTCTAAAAATTTATTGAACTAGTCTTGTTCGCAACTGTAATAGTTTCATAAAATTCTTGATGCCTTTAGAAAGCAAATCAAACTAATATTTTATTTATTAGAAAATTTGCTCAATAAAAACTCATAACATCTCTCGGAAGCAAGTTACGGAGGACCACTGGAATGCCAAAATCTACTTGAACTAAATTCCATTGTGACTCTGCATTAGAGGTAAGATCGGGCCCAAAAATTCCAGCCCGACCCTACCCAGGCCTGTGGGTTTTAAACCCGAGCCCGACTAATAAACTGGATTTGCAGGTCGAGCCCGAAGAAAACCCGAAATTTCATATTATATTTAGGAGTTCTTTGGATTGTCATTGCGATTATTTCTCCAAATTATTTATTTTATAACAAGTATTCCTTAGTTTAGCATCCACACATAGTTTTAGTATATATATTTCATGAACATATATTTATTTAAAAAAAAAAGTCAGCGATAGAAACGCCCGATCCAACCCGAACTTAATGATTGACATTTCAGGTCGACTGAAATTAGGGCCGCGTCGGGCTTCAGATCGTAGCTCTACTCTGTATTACATCTAGTTTTTTTAACGCTTTTCCATTTTATGTGGCACGATTAATAATGAAAAACAAAAGCGAAAAAAGGTGCATATACACAATAAATTCATATTCATTTTTATTAAATGTGGATAGCGTGAATGGTAGATAGTGGAGGTTTCGCTTGTGGCCCCCAAACTGATTTGTGGCACCCCGGATGAGAGCCCGGTTTGAGAAGCACTGCACTAAATAAACATTTATATGTAACCTATCACAAACCTGATTCATGCTCTCAGATAACGGACAATTATCGGGGCTGTCAACTGGCGGTTGCTTTGTAAATTTCACGTCAAACTGGGAGACATCTTCATCGTTTTTGATTGGAGGAGTAAAAGGGGGTTCAACCTGAGTGAAAAAAAATGAATTATATGTTCAGGGAAATTTTAACCCGGAAAAGTCCTCCCAAACTTTTCAATGTTGTTGGGGTTAAATTTTGTACGTTTGGATATTCCATGGAGAAAATTGTGAGCTTTCCAAGAAAGCAAGAAATCAAGGGATGAATTTCCGGTACTCCCTTAGTATGTGAACCATGATGGCGGACACCGGAATGTAGTATGTGTATCAGGTTAGGGTTAGGCCATAATTTCAGGTACAAATATACGGAAGTCACTTGGCTAGTCACGGAACTCGTAATAGACCTAAAATAAGGAAAATTGGAATAAAATTATGGCCTAACCATAACCTGGTACACATACTACGTTTCAGTGTCTGCAATCTCGGAGTACCAAATTTTCATGTTTTTGGAAGGGCAGGTCTTTCCTATTCAGAGTCACACACGCTTTTCACACTGAACCCAGGCAATGCACAAAAAATACTGATATGTAAGTAGATACTAAAGATGAAATAAAATTGGAATCCTTTCTTTTCAGGATTGCAACACGGTTTTATCAAACCCTGAGTGAGTTAGCGGGTATAAGATTGAACCAGTGATTTTAAAGTTAAAAACGACCTGATTTAGAATACTAAATACATTATTTCAAAATGGAAAGTTACTCAGTTTCGACCATTCTCCATCTCTAGCCATAGGGGTGTCCAGAACAAATCGAATATTCAAGAATTCATTATATGAAGTATATTTTTGAATTAATAAGGAATAACCCATTTTTATTTAAAAATTAGTAATTTTAAGCTGTCAGAAAAGTATATCACAATATCTAAACTGGTAGCAAATAACACAAGGAAAACAATGATCTTTTATATTTGTGTTTTTTTCAACATGAAGATATCGTAATTAATGTAATTTTCCACATGAACTTTTCCCAATTTAGAGTGTGCTCGCTGTTTCATATTGGAAAATCTTTTCTCACAAAGTATTCGGAAACGGATTAGTAAAATATTTGGTCATTCTCGTCTATCTGCCTCGACAGATTGACCAAAAAATTCAAATCTTACCTTTTTAAGCAGCAAATCATTCCAATCAATATGCCTGAAGAATGAGTGGGCCTGTACTGCCCCAGCGTCCTGGTGCCCAGCTCCGAGACGAGACACAGTATGGCGTTTCAGTAATTTCTTCAATAAGTCTCGCGCCTCTGGAGTCAAGTACCTTGGTAATGTTAATTTACCATGTAGAACCTTATCTATAGTTTTCTTGCGGTTTTCGGCTGTGAATGGTGGAGCCCCTGCGATATAAAGACAGAATTACAAAATCAAGTTTATACATGATTTTTGGACTTGCGATATGAAAGACAGAATTTTAGAATCGAAGTGTTCGATTCGAAGTGTTATTTTGTATGACCTTTCACACTAAGCAAGGCTCACTACAAACATCCTCTAATATAGAAACTATTATTTTGGCGGGGCCGTAATCTTTCAGGTTTGACATTGCCTTCCCCATTTTCTATATTCTGGGTTTAAACCAGGGGTGTACAAGGTTTTCGGAACGGGGGTCAAAATTTTTGCCTATCTAGACTGGCGAGCCATGTAAGTATGAAATAAAAGTTACATTTTATGGACAATATTTACAGTTTTACAAAAGCAAAATGGAAGCCAACTCAATTTGATCGCAATCCCAAGAAATTTCTTGAGCCCTTTTTTGCTAAAACAGCGAAATTCGGTTTTAGTTTGGTTGTGAGAGCATCATGCGGGCCAGATTGAATTACCCAACAGGCCTAATTTGGCCCGCGGGCCGTAGTTTGCCCGTGTCTGTTTTTTTATAAAAATTTATAAAATAAATAAAATTATTTGGTTTCCAATAATTAATTAAAGTACTTATATCATGCTCTCTTATTAAGTCTTAATAAGATTGGACATCCCAAACAGCGGCATTATTACTCAAGTATGTTGTAACAATGTCAATAGTGACAAATTTATAAAATAAATAAAATTATTTGGTTTCCAATAATTAATTAAAGTACTTATATCATGCTCTCTTATTAAGTCTTAATAAGATTGGACATCCCAAACAGCGGCATTATTACTCAAGTATGTTGTAACAATGTCAATAGTGTGAGTGATTGTTACATAACAACACCGATATAGGAATGTGGTTCTGTTTGCTAAGTTATGTCGTAAATGCCAACTCAACGTTTCTTAAATGGTTGAAATCTAATTCAAAATTGAATAATCACGCCGATGCGAAATAAAAATATTCAATGATTTAAATTCTCAATTTTAATTTAGAGGACAAACTTTTTTTTTTAAAGGGCAATGATGCCCCAAGCAAATCACTACCAGATATACATTGAGTCACATCAGGAGTTGTTGAATGTTTCTACTTGTTTAGAATACAGTTGCCTGCTTGCACCCCACTCAAAAACTCCAAATCAAAGGCATAAAAAAATGAAGAAAATTTGTCATACCAGTAAAATATATCAAACATTAAATTCCAGCGAATGTTGAAATGAATGTACTAAATGGGCAAATGCCAGAAGAATTTTTTTTTACGAAATATCGTATTTGCTCGTTTTGTAGCCCGGCTGCCCTGGTCCATCTTTTTTTAACCAAACTCACTAATCAGGCCCTTATTCAAACCGGCCCTTATTCCAGCACAGGCGCTTGTTATTTTTGAAGTGAAATTTTATACAAAAATTACGATATCTTTGAAGACAGTTATCTACCAGCGCTTAAAATTCAACAGCGTTGTGACAAAAGCGCTTCTTATTTCCTATTGTTCTCTACCACTAAAAAATCAGCTTTTACATCGGGCGGGTATTCAAGCACCGGCCCTTATTTATTTTTATGTTCTGTTCACACGGGCCGCTATTCAAACGAGCATTAATAATCAAGATCGGGCAGCAAAACGAGCATATACGGTATATATAAGAGGGAGGACTACTAGCCCTATGCTACAAATTCTAAATTGATAGGTTCATTTGTCGCGCACAAAAGCCATTTTTTCACAACAAGGACAATTTAGAAATAATGATCCATAGGCCCACGTCATCTCAAAAATAGTATAGAAATTTAGGTACTCCCTAAGTATGTGAACCAAGATGGCGACTACCAGAACGTAGTATGTGTACTAGGTTATGGTTAGGCCATAATTTTATTCCAATTTTTCTTATTTTAGTTCTATTACGAGTAGAGCTCGACCGATATATCGGCCAACCGATATATCGGGCCGATATTGCGTGTTTGCCGATATATCATATCGGCCCAACCGGCCGATATATCTGGCCGATATATATCAGTGTTAGTCGCTTTTCCACGTTCTAAAAAATGAGTATTTTTCCACGGGAAATATCTGCGGCCGAGCGTTTTCTTTTTTTCGCTTCTCTCATTTTGCCTTTCAGTGAACAGAGTTCTCTTCCGTATTTCTCTCTCTCTTTTATCCCTTCGTGCGGCACAAAATCCTCGCCTTCGAATATCTTGCGTCCCGTCCCCACTAGGCTTGCACGTAATCGACAAAAATCAATTCTGTAATTACGGCAAAATTGATTACGTAATGACCCCGTAATTGCGATATTTTTTCACACATTTAGACCTATCATAAAAACCATTTGAATCCACTTCTTTTCCGAACGGGACATCGGAATTGGTTTTCATATTACCGACAGTACTACAAGCCGGCGACAGATGTTAAAGACAAATATCAAGGAGTGAATTCAAATTAAATTTATTCTGATTTTTATCTTTTGTGTTGGCTGTGATTTTCCTTTATCACCCTCGCAAATTAACCGTCCCAATTTTATGCGATCAATTTTATCATTACCGACACTGGTATACGGATATTTATGATACGATAGTTGACTTTTTTTAAATCGACTTTCGCATTGAATAAAAATTTCGGGTTTCTAAGTTATTAATCAACGACAAGCGTATTCTCTCGTTTGATTATACCTGCGCTTGCCTCGCGACGAAGACTTGTCATTTCGCGGCCTAAATGTTATAACATTATTTGCGATAAATTTAGATCAAATATTAATTATTTAGCCGGCGATAAATTCTTACCCGTAACTCGTTGTGAATTAATGCTAATAAATTCTATTTTGTTTTTTAATGTGCTGTAATTTGTATTAATAAAAGTGATTGAGTCGGGAAAAGAAAGTAGTCTTCTCTCCTTTTGAGGGCCCATAGCGGCGGTAAAATTCGTTTCATGTCTGTTTCACGGTGAGAAAGAAAAATACGCCTTCCGGAATTACAATCAACTATCACACATTCTCATTTATCATTATCAGCGCCGAATAAAAAAGATACCAAATCGTGAAGACAAAAAAGCCTGTCGGTGTTTATTGCGTTACGGTGATAACGCTCATAATAATATCGTTTTGACCGTGAAACCAAACGCTCAAACGGGGTGGCAACGCGTCATGTCTTCCCCCACCTGCGTACCAAGAGAGAGAAAAACGGAGCGAATACCGTAACTGTAACTTCTTCTACTTGTTAAACTTTCATTTTTACAATCGAAGGAATTGACTGCTTTGAAGGAGCACGTTTCAAACGCGAAAGCGCTCGACCAATAACGACTTTACGTAATTTGTAACTCGAAATAATTACGTAATTCCGTAAATTACGTGCAAGCCTACTCCCCACCTACTACTGTATGGATCAAAATGGACTTATATAAGCTTTTTACTGACTGCCTTTTTTCTTTTGTGCTTGGTTTTTTCAAACATTGCCTTCTGTTTTGTGCATTAATGTGTGTTCTTATTATTTGCTGTGAAACTTTTATCAATGATGCAAGCATTGTGTAGGACTGCTTTATTTTTCAACCTAAACTTTTGATTGACTGAAACTGAATTTTTCTTCCTAGTTGTATTTACTGCGGTGCGGGTTCAGGTTGTAGATATCGGTATGTCGATATCGGTTATCGGTCACTAGTTGGCCGATATATCATTATCGGTATCGGTGCCAAAAAGTGATATCGGTCGAGCTCTAATTACGAGTTCGAAGACTAGCCAAGTGACTCCAGTAGTATTTGTACCCAAAATTATGGCCTAACCCTAACCTGGTACACATACTATGTTCCGGTATCCGACATCTTAATTCACATACTTCGGGAACACCGAAATTCATACTATTTTTTAACACCGATTGTGCTCTATCTTTCCCTAACTTGAATTAATCTAGTACACTAGTATTCAAACAAACTCAAATTTTACCTGTCAGCATGTCAAACATTAACGCTCCAAGGCTCCACCAGTCAACGGCTTGGTTGTGTCCTGATCGCAGCAGAACTTCTGGAGCCATGTATTCTATCGTACCGCAGAATGTGTGCGTCATGTTGCCTTCTAGGATAGATTCCTGTTAAATAAAGGGTTAAGGTATAATTTCCATCTTGTGTTTAAATTACATGCCTATCACTGCCGTTGGAAGGGCTCACTATATTATTAAGTCATCGTTCTGACTTCATTCTCCCCGTATATTTATACAAAAATTCCTATTCTATTTAGATTAGTCAGGTATACCCGAGCCCTCAACTACGATAACTACAAAAAATGAGTCCTGATAAAAGAGTTTCGATACATGTGACTGTTGAAATGATAAGTTTATGTCTGTGGGTTCACCCTTGCAATGGGGTTGGATAACAGTTGACAAGAGACTTGTTTCAACTCTATTTGAATGCTCCTGTCATTGTGCTGGGCACAATATAAGTGGTCGTATGTACAAAGATTTTTTTGAGCTAAAAAACGTTGTCTAATATTGAAAACATTTTCCCAGACACTATAAGAATGGGCTTTTAACTGCATCTGTGAGTGAAAAAGCACTGCGCATATTTTGAGCTTACGCATTCGTTGGCCAGGCTACTCATTGAAGACAGACAGTTATTTTTTATACGACAAATCGACATCACGTATGCTTTCCAATCAAATCTCTCTCAAGCAGCCAATGATATGTAAAGAACTACAATATACTGGGACTGAAGAACTGAATATATCCGGCGTCAATGGTCTATCCAACTTATGATACCCTGGGTGCGGTGACGGGCACCGGATTTGAACCTAGGACTTTTAACCCATAGTGCCAACATAGTCAAGTTCAACGCTTTATTAATCACTAGGCCGTCACTTTTGATTAAAATTATTCTAAATTGAATTCTACAAAAATATTTTGGTGCTCCCGAAGTATGCGAACCAAGATGGCGGACATAGGAACGTAACATGGGTAACAGGTTAGGGTTAGGCGATAATTTCTTTCCACTTTTCTTTATTTTAGTCCTATTATCAGTTCGAAGACTAGCCAAGAGCCTCCCGTAGTATTTATACCTAAAATTATGGCCTAACCCTAACCTAGTACACATATTACATTCCGATGTCCGCCATCTTGGTTCGCATACTTCGGGAGCCCCAAAATATTTCCAATAATTGAATTTATTGGAAATCTTTCCTCCCTGAGAATCAATCTACATCTACTTTCTCCTAATACGTTTGACCGACTAATCAAATTGTTGAAAGAGGTGCATTGAGAGGAAGGGCAAAACACGTTCACAAGATAAATTATTAATACCTTGAGATCTGGCATGTCAATAACTATCAGTTTTACTAATGTTTGTTGTTATATTCAGAATGCTTTAAAAATTATTCCTTATTTTTTATTTTTTTTAAATTTGCTCGAAGTTACACGCACTCACTCCCAAATATGGGAGACTCATCTCTGAGAGAGGTTATGGGCAACCATTAAAGAAGAACACTGGCTATGATGAATCATGGTCCAGAATGCTAATTAATAAATACTGCAGTGAGACTTGAAGCAACTGACACCACTCCCGTAGTATGAGTAGAAGGTTAGGGTATAATTTTATTCTGATTTTCATCATTTTAGTTCTATTACAAGTTCGGGCGCTGCCTGTGTTAGCTAAGTGAATAGTCGCCTTGCCCATAGGCTTCAGTCCCTTTACACAACTTGATGTAAAGTAGACGAACAAAATATTGGTACACACACTTCTGGAGGATAAAGAACTCTACATAACTGAAGTTATTAGAAATAGATTTGGGCCTAAATTTTTTTGTCTGTCCTTCAAGTTCTTGGAATATTTTTTTTCTTTTCTGGTAGTTACAATGACAGTAAACGAGTGACAGCCAACCAAATCAATTCAACAGTTTTAAATAAAAATTGCTATTTTGTACAAATTGATTTGGTGTTTGCAAAAAAAATCCAACAACTAAAAAACTATCTTAACTTTTCTGAGTTATTGTGGAGTCGAGACAAAAAGTGCGAATGTTGGAATTTGAAAAATAAATTTTAATTTAAAAAAAAAATGCAACGAAACAGATGCTTTTCAAACCGGTTTTCTAATCAAAGTTTGAAGCGATATGAGTATTTCAATTAAAAGGCTGAGATGTTGAGACTTCAAAAATATATGTTTTCCAGTTTTCTTCTCAAATTTTAGCCTTTTGAGTCAATAAAGCCCTTGATTTGCAATATGGAATTTCAACAATAAAAGGAAATGCATATTCAATGAGTTTGAATTTAAAAATACAGTTAAATATTAAAATAAGGACTGGTTCCATGTATCACTGCAGTCGAACCAAATACGACAATTTTTGGAAAATGTGTCACAAGCTATTTAGATTTTACCGCAACAATATATTATGAATTCAGAAACTATTGGCCTTTTTAGTCATAATGTAAGACTTTAATTGTTTAGAAATTATTCCCAAAGTCAAGATTGTTAAAATATTGAATATGATCAACTTCAAATTGTAGGATAGGAATTCCATATTTATCCCGGGGGAATGAAACGACGTTACAATTACAACAGCTTAATCATATGATGAACCACGGCCTCTCGTCTTGTTACCACTCTATTTTGGGTATAAGATTAGTTAATTAACCGATTATGTGTTTCAGATGGATGGATTTAATGGTAAAGGGAGTCGCAACCGTTACATTAACCACCCTTCGAATATCTGATTTGTTTTGGACGTCTTGGCACCCATGCAGGCGCGCAGCCAGAGTTTTCAAAAGGGGACATCTTGGCACCCATCTGACCCATGTTTCACTAAAATTGAATTTATTAAATCAAGGTATACACAGACCTTACAGAGACCAAAATCTGTTAACTTGATGTGACCGGTTTGATCCAGTAATATATTCTCTGGTTTTAAATCCCGGTAGACAATTCCTTCTTTATGAAGATGTCCCAGAGCGAGAGTGATTTCAGCGAGGTAGAAACTGAAAGATAAATTAACAACAAAGTCAAATAACAAAAAGAAACATTTAGGCAGTAAAAAAGCAATGGTAGAATAGTTGCGAGACCCCACTGATGCACTGAGAGCTTTATATAGTTTTTTGGACACAAGTGGACAAATGAATCGTTTTGTTATTATGTTGTTGTTATCATTCTTGTTGTTGTTATGAAAAATTCACTTTCCTCATTCACTAATGGACCAATTGCTTTAAAATTTTCAGTGATTAAAGATTATTACTTTCATTTATTCCCAAATTTTCTATAAATCCTATGAGATCTGATATTTGATCCAAAATTTTGCTATATTTTTATTTTTTACAGGTACACGGTTTTTGATCCACCAGAGGTGACGGCTGTTCCCGATTTGACGCAATGCTACATAAATTTTGTTTTTGGGCTTCCTGTCCACATATTTGAGCATCGTCCCCTTGTTTTTTATACAATTTCTTCGAAAAAATAGTCTCAACTCATACATAAGGGTGGAAAAAATACTGATGCACCACTGATGTACCAAGAGCTTTAAATACAGGTTCACATAAAAGTTTACTTAAAGGGATCTACTATTTCTTCTTATTCATATCTTAAAACAAGGCCCTGTTTGAGCAGATACTAATATCTTACGACAGTACAGCACACTATCCAAATTCCAAGAATTTCCCTCCATTTAGCTCAATAAAACAAACACTCTATGTGTCTCACAAACGAGGAGCGTCTGGGACCACGTCAGATGCTTCATATCGTGCCATGCTTGTTTCAATAAAAATCTAAATTAATCGAGGCCGTCACATGACCAAAATTGCCGTTTCTTGCTAAAAACTCTTGAATGCTACGGTAGAATTTTTTTTCCCCTCGGTAAATCGGATTATTTTTTCCCAAGGAATTCAATGATGACGTTACTAGATTGCGCTTCTTTGTAGTATTTTGCTTCATTATACTGCATTATTATCGATATTGAGGGACAACAATGTCCAGACGTCTCCCAAAGAAGGGGTGTCTGATCATCTCTAAAATGGGTTTCTCTGAAACGGGACAATGTCACCCGATTTGTATAGTGTGCTGTACTGTACGATATGCTACCTTTAGTTAAAAGGACATATATATTATGGCATATCAGTATTTAGGGATTACATACATTAGGACAATTGAAGGCAAAAAATATTAAAATTTCTTAAATTTTATTGTCCTGGGAAATGCCTGTTTCGTATCATTAAATCCAATGTTCAAGGCATTTCCAAATAAATAATACATTTATAGTAATACATTTACAACTTTTTAACATCTAAATCCAGCATTGTGGAAATTCCCACTATTTGAATAAGTATGAAAATAGAATAGGATTCGGTATTCTGGATTCGATTTAACTATTCTAGAATAGTAAATTATTCTACATTGGCCATCCCTAATGCCGAGGTCTCCGAATTCACACCTGGATTTCTGATTTGCACGTCGAGCTCTGTGATTACACACCCGATTTCTTGTGAAAAAAAATCATGAAATCCAGATAGGTCCTGATTGATATGGGGGATTGATGCGATTTGAAGGCAAATGTGCAAATCTGCGATGCCAACACACTCAAGTCTAACGCTTTAACCACGAGACCATCACATCGCCTTTACAATCTAGAAATCAAAAATATAATTACCAGGCCATGTCTTCCATAAATATTCCTTCACGTTCAAGATGCATGAATAGCTCCCCCCCGCTTAAATATTCCAAAATTAAATATAATTTTCCTCCAGTTTGAAAAGCGCAAAATAAATCCACTATAAATGGATGCTTTACATCTTCGAGTATATTTCTTTCCGCTTTCGTATGAGCAGTGTCCTTTTGATTTCGCACAATTGTCGCCTTTTTTAAAACTTTCATTGCGAATATTTTATTCTTTTCCGGGGAGGTAGTTTTGCGGACTTGAAAAACTTTTCCGTACCCCCCCTTTCCTAAAACTTTGAGTAACTGGAAACAGTGTGGACCAATTTTCTCTGTTCCTTTATTAACTAAAGCGTCCTGGATTTCGATTTTTTCTAATTCTTGTGGATCTTCGATTCCTTGAAGGGGAACTTCCCCACATTCGTAAATCTCCCCCATTGCTGACCCTTGACCTCCGCAGTCCAGATCAAGTTCGAATACACCCGCCATTTTGGTCTAGGTGTCCGCAGTATTTTCAATAGTAATAAGATTTAGAGATCTGAATAAAAATGAATATAAAAACATCATAGGATATTTGCTCAAATCACTTGCACTCCAACAAAGGAGGTGTCTCATGTAGTTTCGTACCTAACGTACTTCTAGTAGGCGTAGCATAAAAATTTTTCCACATGTCAATCCTAACCCCCATCTGACTGCCTGACCACACCATCCAAAAATTAGTCACCACGACGTCACAGTGACGCAATAGAGCCCTTCAAACTATGCGAACTGTCATCCAAGACGCGCAGGCGAGAACCCGAAATCGAACAGTCATTTCTCTCGTTTTCTCATTGTAACGATCCCGATAGGAGAGAGATTGCTGACAATAATCAGTTCTTTATCGTCAGCGCCGATGCCATTTCGGGCGATCATACGAGTAGTTGGCAAGCTCTATAACGAGATTGTGACGTTGCAGTGATGTAATTTTTGGATGGCGTAGTCAGGATTGACATGTCAAAAGTTGTTTTGTCATGCTATGCCTACTAGAAGTACTTTAGGTACGAAACTACACAAGAGCCAAACAGATCATCCTGTTCAATGTTATAGCCTAGTTCTTGAATTCACAAAAATTTTGTAATGTTTTATTCCTGTATTCAGCTGTTATCGAATTATTGGTACCCGTGTTTGATTTGAGAGACTTATTCAATTCTGTAATTAGTCTTAAAAGGTCGAAATGTAACACCATCTTCCTTGCTGGCCTAGTATCACAGTATGACAAGCAGTTTAATACGGTACCGGTATGGCGGTATAGGTATCGACCGCAACCGGACAAAAAACCAAGTTAGCCATACGAATATCCTGCCCTATCGCCTTTCTTTTCCCAGGATTAAACATAAAAATCTTATCCTAATTTACAACGAGAAATAGACATCACGTCCGAGGATCATTATTCACGCATATCCGTCAAATTCACGCTAAAAACTGTGAAAACTCTCCCCTCGTTAGTCAGACACCTGGCGCCAACGAAACTACTTTCTTCGTTTAATATTCTAAATTGGCCAAGCAAGATTCAAGGTTAATATGAACAAAACGAACTTGGTTCAAACACGAAATTAGTTAAATCGAAGGTCTTTGTTGAAGTGAACGTCACAAGATGGGATATTGCGAAACACCGCGCTGTTTCACCATGACAGTGGTGTTCAGAGTCATAACCGGATTTATGACAGTATTCGTAATAGACAAAGGGCGAGGTTTGATATTTTTGAACTGCGCCGTTTAACGAAAAATGAATGGAAATGTGGATAAGACGGATGATACTACTGGCACCATGACACCATTCGGTCGATTCGTTTATCGATTCAGATCATTGAGGTGCATAAATACCTCAGTGATTCAAATATTTATTTCGTCGTTCAAAACCAATATACGATGAAAAAAATACCTATAATACATGTAACACATTACAAAAACATATATCAGCTCATTGCATGTCATGAGTGGTCGCGTAAGACTAAATAAGTCATCGACACTTTGTAGTTGAAATAAAGCAGCAAATACAAGAATAGAAAAAAACAATATTCAACATTTTTCTAATTGAACTCGTCGGTGTGGCGTATCATGATAAGCATCAGGAACACGCAGGCCACCTACAGCGTGGGTTTGTAGGTTTGAATCCCGCGGAGGATAATTATGTGCAAGAGGATTGGCCTGTTGGAGTTGTTCCAAGATGTATGTTTGTTTATTTGCCTCAAAAAACCAAACATCTATCTGCATAATTATTGCACAATATAACAGAGACGGGATTAATGTTCAAAACCTTACTGACCTAAAACACAGTGGTGTGACATGTTACCCCTAAAAAGTATAACAGACGTTTGAGACCGCTGCGTTATAATAGGACAGCACACATGGAATATCAAAAGACGTTGTAAAAATTCGAACAACAATATGGGTTGTATTTATATCATTTAGCCTATTTAGGTCAGCTTTCAAAGTCCCTCTTTATTTCTAACGCATCACACCTTCACTTCGAACAAGCCTATTTATAAAGTTCGACTGATATTAAAGAAGAAACAGCTGTTGAAAGAAAGGTAGTCGAGCCCATGCACCTGAAAACAAATAACTGACTAACTAACCCGAATCCGACATGGGCTGGTAACCGGACGAGAGGCCGTGGTTCGCCATATGATTGAGCCGTCTTATATGCTTTCCCCCTCTCCCGCGATAAACTTGTAAATCCTATAATGTTTTTTCTTTTGTTTTCATCGTGGTTCATCATCCAGAAATACAAGCAATCAATAAAAATATTCATTTTTCCTGTTAAGGGCGATTTATCTTATCAAACCTTAGGAAACGGAAATCAATGTAAATCAATCAAGCGGCCAATGACCACGACTGTTGGCGCATCGCCGAGGCGATAAGAAAACGTTCTGTGACAATGCCGGATTTGCTCTTTTTTGTTGTTCACTTTTTCATATTGTCATTTTGTCGTGTGCAAGGATTCGCCGAGTCGCAGCTGTTGTTTCGACTAATATATTGCATTTCAACCCTCTTGCCACTCATGCACGTGAATCCTTTGTTATCAGGTTTCTTCCAGTTTAGCGTATGCAATTCCAAAGAGGAAAGGTCCCAATCCTTCTGATGATATGAGTTCTATACATATCGTTGGATATCAGTGACGGCTTGTACACGGCCATGTTCGGAGCGAAAGGCGCAAATGAGCATTTTTAAAAAGCACCAAAGATCTGAAATCGATCGATTAGTTGCAAAGAAAACGAAATCTCAACGACAACTTAGCAGAACGATCTATTTCGTACACCCGTGGTTCTCAAACTGGGCGTCGCACGCCCAAGTGCGTCGTTTCAATATTGATAGAGCGTCGCAAAATTCTTCTCCTTTTGCGGATTTGTACCTGCGGTGCGTAGAAAAAGTCAAAATATTTTCGGTATTCTCGTTTAAATCATACTTGAGAATTGGAAATGAAAATATATTAATTAATGTAACGATCGATCTTATCTATATGTGACTTGACAAACATCACGGATCATTCAATACTGTTCCAATTATGACATCACACAGGCTGGATCAGATTGCGTCATGCATGCCGTTCATTTCTAATTCTTTCATGAACATGGGAACATCAAGCGTTGTTCAGCACTTCGTCTGCGCGTTAACCTAAACAGATATCCAATATTGACACCACAGCAGTACTCTTCAGGCATAATTTAAATAAAACTCATTGCAAAAGAAGTCTCTTATTGGAAGGTATCCAGACATTTTTCACGGGAAGTCGCAGCTTGGCCATATTTTTTGGAGAACGTCCACTCCGAGAAGTTTGAGAACCACTGTCGTACACAATAAACATACACACTACATGTGCAGTCGATGTTGTACTTTCATCTCTCATATTTTTATTCTCATTTGATTTAAAGTTTAGGCAACTTACCCGAATTTTCCTTCTTGCGTGTTTGTCTTCTGCGTTGTATTTTGTGCCATGGCAGAGTTCATAATAAATTCTTATCTATGCATTCTAAATATCTTTGTCAAAATGCCTGGCCGATTGCGATTGATCCTTTAATTAGTTAGTCTGCACAGGTTGGAAATGGAGATAATTACTGTACATGTGATAGGATTGCTTGATTGACTCTCTCTCTGAACCATGGCGTCTCTGAGCGAAGGTATTCTCTCACCATAAAAGTTCGCCGCGCCATATCGCTGGGGCAATAAAATAATTCGAAATATTGGTTATATAGAACGTTTATAACTTTTTAACAATTATTGTTAGCAAATTAACGGACATCTCAAACGAAAGCAAATTTTATCTGTGCAGTGAGATAAAATGTTACATTTTGAAATAACGCTTGTCAAAAAGTGGAAAATTGATTTTAGTTTAAATATATTTTTTCTGCTTCAAAGTGACTTATGATCCCAAATCTCGTATTTGGTGATGAATATATTACCAATCGCATAGAGATGCTTTCAGCTGATACTTGAATTGCTTCCGTGGCTATTGTATAACCAAAGTTATAGCGAAATATGGAATTCTTCATTCTTGTGTCGGATAATCAAGTTCAATATGGGGCCATGACGTACTGATTACGAACCTACGCAATAGCGATCTTATGACGAAGATGTTACTACGTACAGACGAGGGGTATTGCGTCGCAAATTGTGTGAGTTACCAATAACGGAAAAGCTTGTGATCGCGTTCTCAGCAAGCTATCAGTCGACGAGTTTTGATAAAACTTCAACCAAGCATTTTATGTTATCTGACATAAGCAACACAAAAAGTAAACATACATACAAAGTGCAGAGATACATGGAAGACGAGAATAACTTAAAAGAAGGTTAAAATGCGTATGTGTCCACCCACCGAAAAAAGCACCCAAAGGAGTAAACGCGATTAGGTATCGGGCATTACTTTTAACACAATTAAAAAAAAACAGCAAAATTTAGGTAGATAATTATTAAATGTAATAAACTTCTAAACACTTCTCCCGCCTCTAATATAAGATAGTTCACTGGTCAATTACACCATCAAGTCCATGCAACTGAAATAATTACCTGGCTAATTAATCCCATACCCGACATGGAATCTGGAATGGTAAAAGGACGGATTGATAAAGCCGACCTAACGATTTTCTCTTTTCTCCGAGATAAATACGAAAATACTACCGAAAATCATTTTAAAACAGGTGACGACATGCTAGAGTAGTTTGGTGACATATTTCCAAGAAAAAGTTGGCCATATAAAACCACTTCGTCATGCTGGCATTCGGCCTGTTACCATATGTTTGCCTCGCGAGGCCGCTTTCCCGTTTTCCCAGATTTTCAGCTGTTTTTCGTCGGAATTTTAATGAAAGAGCAGACATGAAATACGATGAAGCCGTGAGAACACTGAATGTACTGCAGGTAAGGAACAATAACTTATAATTTACGAGTGTTGAGTGGGATGGAGAGAAAGCCGATAAAATGACGCAATCGTATGGTGAACCACGCCTTTCGTTCGCTTACCGATCCGTACCAGTTTCGGGGATATTTACCAATTTCGAGATGGGTGGACTTGAGAACATTTTGATTGTTCCTATCAGGTTAGGGTGGGGTCCTATCAATAAATAGCGTAGTACCGTAGCTCCCTATTGCTGTAATATAAAAGTAATTTTAGTCTGTACTTGAAATATTTTTTTCATTGCAAAAATTATGACTTTCAATTTTTTCTTTCAGGTTGGCAAAGGGAAGCCGAAGATTCGAGATGCGGCTTGTTTAGTCGCGATGCAAGACCTTCTGCAACGAGTTTCCATTGGTCAAAATGATTTGAAGAAACTTAACGTTATTCACGTCAGCGGAACAAAAGGTGTTTTTTATATTTTTTCTCATTGCAAACAACTCAAAGATGGGTTTTTAATAAGATTCACTCATAACAACACCCAAGAGTAGATCAGCATCTTACAAATCAATGGTGTCTTAAAAGAAGCCGTGTTCGCTAGGTTGGAAATCCCAATTTGAATTCGGTGAACTTAATCGATATTTTAACCAAGCAAATGATTAATTTCGACTTTAAATACATCGAACTCTTACTCTACAGCCCGGTATAGTGATATATATATATATTTATAATAAAATATTTCGTTCAACCTCCGCATTTGTGCATACAATTTCTGAACAACCCGCAGAGAACATGTTAAAAATTGAATTTAGTCCTTGTCGACCGATGATTTAATGAATGCAATTTCATATTTTCAAACCTAGGTAAAGGATCTACCTGCGCATTCGTGGAAAGCATTCTTCGTCATCATGGTTACAAGACAGGGTTTTTCAGTTCCCCCCATCTAATCGAAGTTCGTGAACGAATCCGAATCAATGGTCAACCAATTTCAAAGACTCAATTTGCGGACTATTTTGAGGACTTGTACAATCGTTTTACGAAAACCGCAGGAGGCAGCGAAATGGACTACCCATCGTATTTCTATTTTTTAACTGTGATGGCTTTTCACGTATTCTTATCGCACCGAGTTGACGTCGCTATTATGGAAGTCGGCATTGGGGGTACATTTGATTGTACAAATGTAGTACAAAGCCCTGTGATTTGTGGCGTGACGCCGCTTGGATATGACCACATGGATTATCTCGGAAATACCATAGAATCGATCGCTTGGCATAAGTCTGGAATATTCAAACCAGGCGCCCAAGCCTTCACTTCTCCCCAGCCATATTCCGCTATGCAGGTTATGGCTCAAACCGCGCTTGACACTGAAATAAAAATCCAAATTTGTCCCGATTTGTCATCGTATAAAGTTCCTGACGGAAAAGAAATTCATCTTGGATTGGCTGGTGATCATCAGAAAGTTAACGCTTCACTGGCTCTGCAAATCTCCCAAGCGTGGATGAGAAAAATGAACGAAGAAAATGAGGTAATGTTCATCATATATTTTTGGGTTTTGAAATGTTCCTCATCCAATCGAAAAATAAACCTAATTCAACCCTAGCAATGTTAAAATGGAATATGAATAAAACAATGTTCATCTGAACTTAGGTGTATAAAAATGTTGTAGGACCAATGAAAAATTCTATCTAGTCTTGAATCTAAAATTTTTTCACTTTCTCGATTAACAGTCTGATAAAAGATACATGTGTTTACTGAAATTGAATCTTTCCCCAGATGATTAAGCAGTTTATCAACTTTCTTTCCCCAGAATAAATACCAAGAATCTAATCTAATATTTTTAAATCCAAAAAATTCTCTTTTTCCTCGATAACCTAAGGAAAGATTTTTGGGGTCTCGTGTAGTTTCGTACCTAACGTACTAGTGGGCGTAGCATAACTATTTTTTGATGTCAATCCTAACCCCCATCTGACTATGCCATCCAAAAATTATGTCACTACGACATCACAATCACGTCATAGAGCTTGCCAAATATACGTACAATCGCCCGAAATGGCATTGGCGCCGACAATAAAGAACTGACTGACATTATCGATCCTATTGAAATCGTTGCGACGAGAAAACGAGAGAATTAACTGTTCGATTTCAAGGGCTCGTTTGTGCGTCTTTGATGGCAGTTCATATAGTTTAAATGGCTCTATTTCGTCACTGACGTCGTGTTGACGTAATTTTTGGATGGTGTAGTCAGGTGGGGGTTAAGATTGGTACGTGAAAAAATTGTCATGCTACGCCCACTAGAAGTAGGTTAGGTACGAAACTACATGAGACCTGATTTTTGTTTGTAATCAAAGGGTTCCACAGCCTGCTTACCACTCACCTCTGGGAAATTCTGAAAATTCAAGCTGGACTGAAAAGATTCACAGACTCTTCCAAACAGACAATATCTCCTTACATCTACATGCCTGATTATCCACAAAGCTGTCTGAAGTGAAAAACTATTGCACAATCTTAATTTTAAATTCAACATAATGTGCTTTCTCAATTAACAGTCTGATGAAAGATACGCATACTCATCTGAAATCGAGGCATTCCCTTCTCCTGCGAAACCTTTCCTGCTGAACGAGACTCATCTCAACGCTTTGTTCGAATGCCAGTGGGGAGGCAGAGCACAGGTTAGTATAAAAAAAAATTCGTAATGTCAAGTTTATTATTCCAACCAGTAAAGAACATCACTTGTATACAAATTATGAGAAAATGATATTAAACAGTTTTAGGGAAGCCATGGGGAGCCAAAGCTGGTTATCTAGCAGCAACACCCCAGGTTCTAATCTAACTTAGAAATCAGAAATGTGAGTTTTGAGACTACTAATATTGACGGTTGGTACTGTACAAATTGTCCAATAACATCATATTTATGCAGGGGGATGGAAAAGCTGATAAGACTGACTTGAGAGTCTTTGTTAATTTTTTAAAAAAGTTCAGCCTAAGAAAGGAATTATAATTGTTTGAATTCTGTTATGAGCATTGCTGGCTTATTCCATCATGTCCTCAAATTCCAAGGCCTTACCGTTTTATTTGATGGTGCTCACACAGTGAAAACTTTGTTTAAAATTTTCTTAAGCCTTATTAGTTGGCGCGTCATGTTATGCATTAGGAATCTATGCATTCTAGGAATATGTTTGCCATGCACAGGTTTGAAGAATATTTATGAGAGAGATGATTGCTGGACTACTTGCTGCCCTAAGGTGGTCACATAACCATATATGGCTTCTTCCATCAGTAAGTCCATGCGTCTGAAAACCAATAACTGCTTACTAATCCCATACCTGACATGGGCTGGTAACTGAGCGAGAGGGTGTTCTTCGCTTCACAATTAAGACGTCTTATTGTTCTCCCCCCTCCCTTTGTGATAAACATGAAAATTTCTCAAGGTTGAAAAATTGCAAAACAATTTTATAGGTAGAATTTAATGATTTAAAGATTAAAATTCTTTCAAACATGATAGATCATTACAGAGCTCATACAGAGCCTTTAACATTACAAACTAACTAATACAACCAAATTTTATTTATACTAACAGGTTCTTAAATTCCAAGGGCTTACTTTTTATCTTGACGGGGCTCACACTGTAAAAAGTATGCAATGTTGTGCCAAATGGTTTCATGAGGAGGCTTTAAACGAGGAAAAACGAATCGGCGCACAATGCCGAAGAATTCTTGTGTTCAATGCTACGAGGGGGAGAGATGCTGGAGCCTTGTTCAGAGCTTTACAGGTGCAAGTTTTTTTATAAAAGCATTTGTTAAAAGCAAGGTCACACATTGGCGAACACAGATTAATACAGGACTGTAGTCAGTTACTGTCAATATGGTCAGGAAAACATATACTTTGTAAAGTTAGGGCGCAATATACTAGGGACAATGAGTAGGCAATGTGAATTCAGAAAGGTTCCAGTCCTTACTAAAAGGGATATCATCTCATTACTTATCAGTAGGGCTGGGCATTTCGAATCGAATATTCGAATCGAATCGAATAGTAAATTATTCGAATCGGTTCAAAGCTAAATTTCGAATCGCCGCCATCTTGTTTTTTTGTTTCCGCCAATGATCGAGGTGAATTCCCCAATTTTTTTTTCATTGGAGTCATATTTTTTCAACGCAATTCTAACATATGACTATTTTCTGTAGTAAGTTATTGTTAAGCGTTTTTGTTTTTGTGTGTGAACGCTCACAATCTATCTGAGTGATGTATTCTATGTCTTCAGTAATTTATTTGTTAAAAGACCAATTACTATAAAAAAAAGTCGCTTACAATTATATATTTCCAAGTATTCGAGATTCGATTCGATTCGAAAAAAATTATTCGATTCGATTCTGAAATCACAAGATATTCGAAAATGCCCAGCCCTACTTATCAGTGGTGTTTGTTCAGGGGGAAGCAGGGGGTTGTTTTGGGGGTCGAATTTGTGTTAGCGAGACTCATGAATCGCCTTAAATATCTATTCTTCATTTTTTTACTGTTCCTACAAGATTTATTTGCTAAATCTGAATTTCAACATTTTATTCTTGAAGGACTGTGACATCACACATGCAGTATTCACCCCTAATATAGCGACATTCGTACCAACGGATTCTGCTGATCAAACAAATCTGAAATCTTCATTAGAAAACCAACTTCTGTCCGCAGTTCGCAACCACGAGGAATGGTTACTGGTGAAGCAAGAGCAACAAATGAGAGAAAAACAAGTTTTAAGTGGCGGAAGTGTGGTTGCTAATAGTTACCAAGTAAGCAGAGACTTGAAAGCTCCAGTTTTTGCAACAATAGCCGACGCTATAGCATGGATGTCAGAAGGCCGTGATGAAAAATTATTTAAAACTTCGTTAGAACTCGCGTCTGCAGAGAATTATCAGATACCGCTACTTAAAGATGCAAATCATGTCCAAGTTTTAGTGACGGGTAGCGTACATTTGGTCGGTGGGTTCCTCAGGATTCTGGACCCAAACATGAATGGGGATTCGTGAATTGAGGTAGATCACTGTGATTCCTGCCTATTTCTATTTTAATTCCTCATGCTGACTCCTTAATTCCTAGATGCGGGACGTTTGAAGATATAATCCTCCATTTAAACTAGATTGGCTCCAAACTCTTTTAGTTGCATGAATTTTTTATTATACTTTAGTTGCCAATCTGTATAAACTGACGTCAGATTAAAGGAAATTTGGACACTCATAATTTCTAGAAAACCTATTTGATAACAAAAGTTTTAAATTATGCAAGTTATTTGAATATGCTAAGTCAACTTTATGCTTTTGGCCTTCTAAAACCAACTCCATAATTCCTAGAATACTTTTATATATGCAATCCTTCGTTCTTTTAATATTAGTCTCTTTTGGATTGAATACTTTAGACCAGGGGTTCCCAAGCTTTTTTAAGGACGACCCCAAAGACAACTTTCAAGTGTCCAGTGCAACCCCAGGTCAATATATATATTTTTCATGAAACTTTAGAGCTTCTTTCACTGGACTTTTGAGTTTGGTCATGTGGTGGTATTAAGTGAAATAGCTAAACCAACCAGTGATGTCACAATAAACACCTACATTTTCAATAACGAAAGCATAGAGTGATGCCTATGGGCCTGTTTTACATTAAGCCCTGGTACAAACTGCTAAATTTAACATGGTTTGTCAAATCTTAGATGAGTTGTACATCCATCTTCTACCATACCCCAGCGACCCCACCGACCTGGTTGCGAGTCTTGCGACCCTACCTATTTATTACTCCGACCCAATTTGAGGTCGCAACCCCTGGTTTGGGAACCCCTGCTTCAGACCTTAAAAAAATCACAGACACCCAGGTTTAAAGAAAATTTTGAATCCAGCTCAGATCCTCAAGAAAGCCGAATGCTAACCAAATTTTATATACAAGCTGTTTTATACTTGAAGTTTGATATTCTGGCTTCTCAGTTTGTCAAAATAAATTTATACCTCTAAAATTCAAAACATTCGAAAATATATTTAGGTAGCTCTCGACTGTTAATTGCATAAGCTTGTCATGCCCTAGTTCCCAGATTCAAACTTTCTCTAATTGTCTACTCCGTCTTTTCCAATGCTTCTCAGTTTGCCGCTTTTTCAATTTGTCGGAAATTTTGATTTTGTCAGCCGTCCTTCAGCAATCTTGTGTTTAAATTTGATTTTTATGCCCGTGATAATTACGTATTCAGATATGGGATTACTTAGCTGGGCGGCATTATAACTGTGTTTATTTATCGAATTGACTTGAACTGCTTTGTGCAATGCAACATCTTAATTTTAACTTTGCTCAAAGATGAGTCTTCTTCACTTCTGAGTGAATGTGCCACTATTTTCGAATAGTTGCAGTAGCTGAGTACTTCTGAGTAAGAGAGTGTAGGTTTACCTCTACGCTCCATGCATTTTTATTGGTTACTTATAAATACCCCAAGAGATAGTTTACTTCTGAGTGAGTACACCACTATATTTTTTGATGATTTCATTGGTTGCCTGTGATGTTGCTCATAGATGAGTGTTCATTACCAATAACTCTTCGAATATATATGCCACATTCTTCATTATCTAAAAAATTCCCTTTTCATTTTTTCAAAGAAACTTTTTAACCATTTATGGTTCGCGGAATAAAAGTACTCGAAAGTGACTGGTATTGCTGTCAAAACTGTGATGTGGACTTATTTATAGTACAATTAAATACCTCAATTTTTTTTAGAATAAGGTTATTATTCGCTTATGGTTTACGGAATAAACATACTTGAAAGTGGGGGGCATGTGCCAGAAAAACTGAGCTGTAGACTGTCTATTCATAAAACAATTAAATACCCTAAAAAAGTTTTCTTTTAATTACTCATGGTTTACGGAACAAAAACATTTCGAAGTGACTGGAATTGTTCTGCTAAAACTTTTCATTTTTCGTTATATGAAAAAATTTATATTTGTTAATTAAATTTTAATCGTGTGTGATTTGCGGAATAAGAGCACTTGAAAGTGTCTGAAATTGTTCTTTCAAAATTTGGGATGTAGGCTTCAGAATTATTGTATCAAGGAATCTTAGAGGTATCGCAGGCCTAAAACACCAGACTTTAACAGGAGTTCCACAGAAATACTTTAGGGGCTCCTGAGCTATCCGTATGTAAAAATAAAAATGTTGTTGTTTGAGTGGGACATTCATTGGCACTGTAGTTTCTGACGGATAACCCTTCAAATTCAATTTCTGATTCGTTGAGAAACTTTTCTGCAAGTAGTGGTCACTTGTACATAGCAGTATTGACCAGTTTTATCTGAAGAGGTAACATTCGGCCTAATCAGTAAGATGGGTTCATAACCCTGGAAAATGTTGGAACCTCTGGTCTAAAAGTTTGCCATTTTTTGTAATTGTTTTGGGTGATGAGATCGCGTAAACCACAATCTTCTGCCAGGTCTGCATGTTTGTTGTGGCCAACTGAGCTTGCATTACGGATTAATCAGCACACTCGCATATACTTACCCTACCCAGTGTGATCATAGTGCTGTAGTGATTCTGGAAATTGACATTGGACAGTGGGTTGGATGAAACGTATTTTATCAAAAGACACAAATTTTGACAATGTACTTCCAATATGGTGTGTCACCTGGTTAGGTCAATTAATTCACCATTTTCAGAGGCCCAAGAAGGTAGGAATAAGGCTGTAACTGGTCAGTGGAAACATGGGATGCCATCGAGAGTCCGGATTCCACTACTTAAGAAGTACCGTCTATCGCTGACAGTTGAGTAAGGTTTTTTTTATTTTTCGATTTTGTAAGTTGACTAAGAGTCCTTTCATTTGAATAATTCTTTGATAAAACGATCGTCCTGTGCCTCCGATGTTGAGCAGTTTTATGCCAACAAGGACAAGGCTTACAGAAAGTTGCTCTTCCCGGAGGAAACAACACTAAAAGTTTTCGTCTTAATCAGGGGTGGGCATGGTTTTTGGATCAGGGGCAAAAATTTTTGCCCATTTAGACAGGCGGGCCATGTAAGTGTGACAAAATATTTATAGTTTTACAAAAGCCAAAGTGAAAAACAATGAGCCATGTGACAAAACTAAATTTAATTGCAATTTCAACAAATTCCTTGAGCTATTTCATAACTTGAACATCAGAATTTGGTTTTAATTAGGTGGCAGCATCAGGCGGGCCAGGTTGAATTACTCAACGATCCACAGTTTTCCCATGTCTGGTCTAAATGATGACTCCAGTTTTCCCGACACTGTCTGACCACTGCATACAAACACAGAGCCATTCAACCGAATAAATACTTTGCATAGCAATCAATTTATTGAAGAATTTTCACACAAATATTTGCTTGAAGCAAAATCTAAGTAACTTGGTAGATTTATGTGAAACACCAAATAGTGATGCCATGTCCCAGAAAAGAAAAAAAAGAGAGGAATATTATTCCACATAATACAAGAAAATTTGCTCAAAAGCAAGGCCGCATGGAAATAACGAAGAAGCACAATATAAGAACTGCTGTTATATAAAACTTCCGTATATTTTCGCACATACGCCGAGTTTAAAACACAAAAAAAAAAGTTGCCAAGCTAAGGGGACGGCTTATACTCGCATAACTCAGATTGCATAAAAAAATCGACTCATTTGCGCATGACTTTGATCACGCAACGAGATTGACATTTAGCTAACTTGCCGGTAATTCCAAAAGCTTCAAACGGCTCTAAGTTCTCACGATAAAGAACGCACACACACAATCGCTTGTGCCGGTGTGATTGTCTCATCTTACAGCTGATGGCTCGTACAGTCTGTGATTGGTTGTTAAACACGTGACGCTTGTACAGTCTGATTGGCGTCGATTTACGGCCAGCGTTTCGTGGTGAAACGTTATCATTTAGTGCACTATCGCGGTACAACGCAAGTAACGGCGTCCTCATTTTGATCACCTTTACGATATGTTATCCTTTTCAGTTGCGCTGATAAAGACTCTTATCTCCGTTATAATTGAAATATTTACCGTTACATATGCATGACATCGCTTACGCTGTTGAGGTGATGACACAATATTTAAAATTATATGATAAATAAAATTATTCAAATCGCAGTACGGAGCAACATCGAAATAGTGGAGCTTGTAAATATGTCACAAAACGACATTCATTCTACGACGTTTGAAAATCCTTTTAATAGCAACTTCCGAATCAGCGATTTATAAGAATGTGTTAATACAACATTCGATTTGAAAGAAATTGTTTTATGCTGATCCCCCTTCTGTTTTGTCCCTTCATTAATACAAATCACCGCGCATTGAAAAGCAATATAGACGTTATTAACATAAATTTACAAGTAAGAATCAGGTAGAATAATACTCACAGTCACAGCATTAATTCTTAACAATAAAACTGTAATTTCAATTATTTTGAACAACCATTTAACTGAAAAGTTGAAATACCATATGAATATGGTGTGATAAATATTGCTGTACGTCCATGGGTTAGGCAACAGCTGTGTTTTCCGTTTTTTTCCTGAATCAGCAAAACGGAAGGGTCATAAATCAATTACGTTATCTCGTGGTAGCGTTTTCTTTCTGAAGTGCCGATATCGGGCAGGAAGTGCTTCCCACGTTTTTGTTTTTAAAGGATTAACACAAATAACAGCTGGTATACAAAGTCAATTAAATAATCGGCAGACACTTTGGCATACATTATAAAATATATCAACCCATATATGAAGCTTACACAAATCATGTTTGAGAAGACTTGCGAAAAATAACCAAATTTATTGCGGTTGCCGCTCAGGATATCTCGACTACGTTAATATAAAATAAGGATTGTAAAATATTTTCAATCAAAAATGTTCTCATGTCATACATTCGGTACTTCAAGTCGGCGCTGATTTAATTCCTTTTATGTTGACAGTAATCCGCAAAGTGCTGTCTTCCATTACGATTTGTAGAAACGGCGTATATGCGAATTTTTATAAATTCACTATTTTGAAGCTGGTATTAGGGAGTCGGCTTATTCGCGAGATAGGCGTAATTTCGAGAAAATACGGTATATGAAGTGAACTTAAACGAGAAACGCCATAAAAATATAAATTATTTAGTAGCTACATTATTATTGTCACAGCATTGAAGAATTATAAAAAAAAATATTTAAAAATATAATATATTAGAGTTACACTTGATTCAAAAAAGGCAGCTAACTGATTAATAATAAGCATTAAGTTTTTGCCCAAATTTTGAATGTTCATACAAGTATAAACTTGATTAAGGCAACAAAGTGAAAATAAAAGTTACCATATGCATAAAAGTAGATATGTCTGGTCTTGATAGCATAAGTTGATGAGAACTATGAATCGATCGTAAGAGGTGAATAATAAATACGTTTGACATCGATAGCGAGATTACCCTACGTGGGTTCACAGGTTTGAATCATGTGGGAGAGGATTGCTGAATTCCTCACCGCCGAAGGGTGGATCACGCAATCGCTGGCCGGTTACGACTTCCTAAACTATTAAGTCCATGCATGTATAGCTGACTAACTAATTCCATACATGGAATGGTAACAAGACGAGAGGGCATCTTAATGGCTTTCCCCCCAAGGATAAATATGTAAATCCTATACTAATACTTTATTCATAGAAAAACATGCACAGCTGGGTAGACACAAATAATAAAAGCATAGCAAACGTTATGAACCAACAAAATTTAAAGGTAATGAATAGATGAGGATCAATAATATATTGTGGTTTAAAGCATCAGGAAAAATATATATACATTCATTTGATTGCATGACTGACGGCTTAACGGATAAAGCGTTACACCTCACTGTGTTGGCATCAACAACTCGGGTCCAAATCGCATGACCCCTCACCTTACCCAGGTTGTAATCAATTGTGTAGGCCAGGGCTACTCAACTATTTTTATCGAAGGTCCGCAAACAAAACTTCAAAATTATTTGGGTCCGGTCTTTCCAGAAATAATATTTCGGCATCCTTAAACAAGCACTTCCTCGACCTACTAATGATTAGTAGCAAATTAAAATTGTTTATTATGGTGTTATAGTTCTTTTCATATATATATTCAAAACTATGAAAGTCATTTTATAATAGGAAATTCAAAAAGTGGGGCTAATGATCCAAAATAGGTGCGGTCCAAATCCAAGACTCGAAAGGTCCGGATTCAGACTGCGGTCCGCCAGTTGAGTAGGCGATGCCAAACCAGAAAGATTTTTCCGGGCTTCCCAGATATAATTGTAGCTCCATGTGTAACGTTATATATATCAGTGGTTGTTTGTTCATGGCCTCGGTCGAAGCGATATGCATGTATAAGCGCGTTGAATAAAAAACTAGGCCTCGTTTGGCATGTCAAACACAATAGGAAGGTGTTCAGGGTCATAGTGATAATCCACAGATGAGCAATTAATATAAGTCGTGAATTGATCAGTGGTCGACCCGTACCCCTCATGTATGTGACCAAATAAATGATACTTCGGCTGCACTCGGAGTTGGACGGTGTTTAGTAGGTCTACACATCCAACACGTTGTCCGCTGACCACCCGATCTCCATGGCCTGCTGGTGGTCCATGTGTCATCAAGATGTCAACTCCATCTGGAGAAAAGATGAATGGATTGTAAAATAAATCGCAACAGTGATCAGGAGTAACCAAAACCAAATTCACTTTTTTAAAACTCATTCATTATTTTAAATTCTAGAGTCAAGTCTGCCTGACAATTGTTAACTCATGTCATTCCGTTTAGGGGACTTGTGTAACCATGAGTCTCTCCGACACTGGTAGTTACTCGTTCTGGTACTTTGTTTAAGACGTCACTATAGCTGACCGCAGCAAGTGGGTGACGCGCATCGCAGCTGACATCTTCTCCCACCATCAAGTCCATGTATCTGAAACAAATAACCCGTTAACTACTCCCATACCCAACATGGACTGGTAATCGGACGAGAGGCTGTCTCATTGACTTTTCTTACTTACCAGGTATTTTATTCCACTTTTCCATCAATGGTCTGCCTCTTGTCAGATTGAATCCCCAATTTCCAAACTCCGGTTGCCATGGTGATCCCCAAATCCTGATCCCATTAATCGTGATTCCACTATCTTCAAGATAAGTACAATTAGTCAAGCGTGACCGTATATTACGCCAGTCTTTTTCCTCTATTTGTTTTAAATATTTTCCGAAACGAACATAAGAATTATTCTTCTTTGCTAATTCGACATGCTCCATTATTTTGTGATCGAATGATAATTCATGATTTCCTGCAATCACTATCTTATGTTTGAAAGGGACTTCCCCTAACCATTTATTAAATTCATCAATTTCTTTTAACTCCCCAGCGAGCGAAAAGTCTCCACAGTGGAGTAATACATCACCCGGTGGTAGCTTTAAATTCCGATGTTCGTCATGCGTATCAGAAATACAGACAAAGCGTGTGTGACCTTGGGGTTTAGGAAGGTCATGGTCCATAGGTTTTACTATTTCGCAATACCCTCGCTCATAACGACCTTGACCTGACCTTAAACAATGAAGGAATTCATCTGGATAGTGACACTGTAGGTCCACTTCTACGGTTTTAACTTTAGTTGGCTGTTTGAATTTTTTTTCTGTGGGGTCATCATTTGTTCTAAGATATTTCTCATCCCTTTGCGAATTTGAAGAATTTTCGATGTTTAGTTTCGCTTTATATTTGGGTTGAAAGTCTTCATCTTGGGGTTTATAGCGCTTGAAAAGTGACAAAAATTCGAAAGATAAAGATTTTCCCGCATTTTCGTCCAAACTATGTTTGGAACTGAGTAGCCTGTTTCTGTTGCGCTTCGAAGATTGTTGAAAATTATCTTTATTACTTTTTAAACCCACAGTTTTTCCACTAGATGTTCCAAAGAGCGATTTAGGTTTTGTCGTACTGAAATTTCCATACCCAAACAAGTCTTCACAGGGCAAAACAATATCATTTTTCCTCTCATTCTTTTCCCCTTTTAAAAATATTTTGGGGATTTCCACCCCTTCCATTGGGTCCTCGTCATCAATATCATCGAAACGTCCATCATTTGGGTCAAGCATTGAGCTGCTGAATGTCATGTTATTATTCAAGAAATATATTCTGTAAAACATACAAAGATGACTAGAGTTAGAGATAAGAATATGATCTACATCCAAGTCCAGAAGTCCATGCATCTGAAATAAATACCTGACTAACTAATCCTATACCTAGATACCTGACACTGAAAGGTATACGGTAAAACTTACGAATGCCGTGGTTCGCCATATGATTAAGCCGTCTTATCGGGTTGCTTTCCCCCAAGATAAATGTGTAAATCCAATCCACTGATATAGCACAGCGGTACCGGTATCTCGTATCTGGGTACGGTATGCTAACAACTTGCCTAAACTTTCACATCTCCCGCAAGGCTTCATTGGCTGGCTACTTTTATAATATGGTACCATTCACCTATATTCATCCCTAACGGTTTTCTCAACCCGGCGAAACAATAAAACTTTCCGATCTTAATATAATGTAAAACCCTGACTGCTATTGCAGTATTGTGCGAGATAACGTCAACGGTGGTGCATTTTGCTATTCTCTGTTGCTCAGTCAATGAATAAAACCATGAAATATATGATTGTTATAAAGCTGTAAGCACAACTTTTTACAAAAATGTTTCAATTTTTTAATGGTATTTGCATGTTTTTGGTTGTTTATAATTCAAACTTTGCAAATTAAATTTATGAAAACAAATTATTATTAGACTCCATACACAACAACGATGTACAAATAGGTGAATCCCCAAGGAAGACTCGTTACGTTGGAAAGTCGAATGTGGGCGAAACTACTTTCGTTTAATTACGAATCTGTTGACTTGATGTATGAATAGGCTTACCATACGTCCCGCTTTTCAGCGTTTTGTCCCGCCGTCCCGATAAGTCAGCCAAAAGTCCCGCTTTTCCAGCATAATACACAAACATGTTCTCGTTACTGTTGTTTCTGTGTAGCGCAGCGCTAACCTACTTACTGAAGGTGAATGCGTTCGTTTCCCATTGATGGCAGACGTATCGCATGTAAAACCAATACCGATTAGTCTAAATTCGAATTATTTGTACCGGTATCGTTAACGTCAATTCCTTCCTATTTTTTGAACTGAGCCCGATATTTGGACAGAGAATATGCGCATGAAATTTCGATAACAATATGGTCAATAAAGACAGCCGAAACAGCTTTAAATGTAGGAATGCTATGTGAAAAAATCGTAAAATGTGAAGTTACAAAATCACAGCTAAGGGTCGTTGTCTTTCAATGCGTCCCGATTTGAAGTCACAAAAATATGGTAACCCTATATATGAATCAATATAAGTTAGGAGAAAGGGAAAATTCCAATTGTGCGTGGCTCGGTGTATCGTGCTAAGCGCTAGTTTTTTCGCAACCCCAGCTATCCCAAATCCCGTTGGGGGTATTTATAAGCAAGTCAGGGCTGCCACTTTTGTCTGAATAAAAACATCTAGTTTGGCCTCAAATAAACTCTAAAAATACCTAGATTACAATATATATCTAAATATGAAGTCACCAAATTTAATAAAAATAAACAAAATAAGAGTGTACAACTAGTTCATTATTAGATTTCGAAGTTGATGTTGTTGCTTCACAGGGATTTTTATATGTTTCTGCTGTACATATTTTTTGAAACCGGAACAGGATCCCTATATGACGTGAACATTGTTTATTTCGAAATGGGGTAAATTTGATGATAACTAGTATTGCATTCAGCGAATGTCTTCCTGCTGTTTCATAGTTTGTTTTCACAGTTATTTTTCAACATCGGCATTTAAATGACGTAGTAACATTGCTGTTGCCGTGTTATTGTTTCACTTTTTGACTTTACAAGATTGAAGTTTTGTAGCTGACTTTCTGCGCTGCCGATAATATTTTTTTTTCAGGATAGTCATGTTTTATGACAGCTGACAGAATGTATGTCACATGTTGCTGTCAGAAAACAAAGACACGCTTTTTAAAACAGTCAAATTTGCAGGTAGTCTCTGTTTATGTGAGATACTGGAGATAAAAAAAACGTTGGCATAAACTTTTTGTTAAAAATCCCTTGGATTTCATATCGGGCATAAGATTTAAGTTTTATCAACTCTACTTCTAATGCTAAATACTTTTCACTTAACAATTATGCACATCGCTTTATTATTTCCCACTGGATAATATTTAGAACGCTGGAAAAAAAATCTGGACATCAGAAATCACAACAATACGACCGTTCATGTCAGGGATTAATTACAATCGACCCCACTCCGGGTTGACAAAATTTTTGCCCTGTTCTTCCTCAGAAGAGTGTTTCCACCTTAATTCGATTTAAAAGTTATTGCTCGATTTCGTATCGTTTGTGTTCATTTCATTTGCAACTGTTGTTGGTGCATGAGTGCGTACTTGTACGTTTAATACTTTGTCTTAAGCCCTAAGGTATGCTAGTCCTCCAGGTATCTTTGCATTTTTTTGTTGTTGTTCTGTTTTATGCCAGAGCGACCAAATTAAAATTCATTGATTTATTCATTGACTCCAGCTCTAAGCTCCAAAGAAAATCTATTTTTGATGACATCGGCGTATCCAAAATAAACCTTGAGTAACGCTTAGTCAACTTTTTGTTTTTGAGATTCTAAAAACACTTGGACTCCGGTTATCATCATGAACGTTTGAAAATACGATTCCAATGAAAACATATCAAAACCGACATTACAGTTCTGACTTATATTAGAACAAATTACCATTCAAACGCGAGCCTACATTCTTGGAGGGCCCTGTGCGGAACATATTGCACTGGCCTAGTTTGAATAGAGATAAGAATGATGAATTTAAGTTAGGATTTTGTGATTATAAAGGAATTCGTCTTTGCGTTTTATCACTTCGTAACTACGTACAAAGAAGTGTTAGGTAGGGATTTCTAAACCTAGAGTCGCGAAACTCGTATCGAGTCTGAGTTCGAAGTCATCACGGAGGGGTTTCTTTATGACAAGTCCCTGTCCGTGGTCGTATCTCCGACTTTTAACAACGCTTCCTGTACTATTGCAAAAAAAATAATTATGCTTATTTTGAGAGTGGTTTAAAGTGTTGGCGCTTTTCAACTGGTTTATATTTTTATAAGCATCACAAAATATACAACCACATGCTGCTTTCAGGTTCTGATAGCCATTTTTAGCTCAGTCCATCGCAGCGTTTGCGAGACTAATTTTTGATTACTGCAACTAAACTAAAGCTCCTCAGAAGACATATTGACAAATGAGTCATTCGATTCACAAGTATTTATTGTAAACACAACTACAAACTTACAAATAACACGCAAAACCACGAAAACGTGTCGATGCTTACAACAAATGCTTGTATATCTTCCTGGACGGCTGTAATTGTTACGTTGTTGTTAACTTATTGCTGATTGGTTATGGTTACGAAACTAAACAAGAAAACATACCAAAGCAAAAATGCCCGCCACACTGATACAAAATAATGATTGAAGTAACTTTACTGTACGAGCCTTGTAGGAAGATGCAATATCTAATAAATTTTATGTTTATTTCTTAAGAGACACAAAGAGAGATTGTATTTCCGCAAATAATGTTAACATGCAACATTAAAAATATTGAAAGATTGCATAGCAATAGCGAAGTGTGCATATGGATCGTTTTGTTATTACTATTATGGGTGCTCCTGAAGTATGCGCACCAAGATGTCGCACAACCTGCGTCCAGGTTGTGCGCCATCTTGGTGCGCATACTCCAAGAGGTCCCTATTATGTTGTTGTTGTTAGTCATTCATTACTTCTTGCTGTGAAAAAATCGCTTTTCTCTTTAACTACTGGACCAAACGCTTTGAAATTTTCGATTTCATACTTCTCCAGAATGCTATTCCTTTTATTTATTTCGCAATTTCTGTGGGATTCGGTTTTTTGTGTGTGATGACGTCATCAAAATTAAAAATTGCGCACCTTGCGGCTTGGTCGTGAAGACTGTGGTCCGGTAGCCTACTCTGGCAGATTGCATGCCCATACTACTTCGTTTTGGCTTTCGTGTCCATTATTTGAGCATCTCTCTCTTTTGTTTTGAGCAGGTCCAGTTTGTAAGGCCGTCGAAGAATTTCGGGGTTACTGGCCATTTGGTTTACACTTCGCACAGTTTTCGTTGGCCCACGGCCGGTCTTGGTTGCCTCTCGTGTTTACGTAATCGTGAATTCCTTGCGCGTTCAACGTCCCCCGTTGAAAGGATTTACCGGTCAGAAATCCAATTATGACTTCTTGTATAAACAAACCAATCAACCGCGACAAGTTTGCATTCGTTATCCTGTCCGCTGCAAATATTTACGTTTCCAATAGCTCGTTTCAGTGATTGCCCATAGCTTTTATTAAATAACTAAAATGTTAGGTTAATGTGATATCGAGGTTTGCGATTCTGGGCTCTGGACACTGCCTCCTCAAGCCTCGTGTCTATATGCATTTACCGGCGCGTAGTTCATTGTAATAATTCTATATAGTGTCAGTAGCTCTCAGTGGCCGTCTGTGACTTTGATCTGAGATGAGTCTCTATTACTTCTGTACTTTTTTAAAGTTTCTGCAACTTTCAGCATTTTCATGAGTGAGATCCCTTAACATTGCTCAGAAACGAGTCTCCTTTACTTCTGAATGAGTGGACCTAATTCATCACCATAGTTCTATTTCAGTAGCTCTTGGCACTTCAGTATTCGGCCGTAACTTTACTCAAAGATGAGTCTCCTTTACTTCCGAGTGCGAACACATAATGAACCATCATAATTCCATAAAGTTTCTGTAACTCTTAACATTAGCATCAGTGGTCGTCTGCAACCATGACCAGAGATGAGTCACTTTTACTTCTGAGTGAGTGCGGACATACTAATACGGACGTTGCAGAATGAAAGTTGTGAAGTGTGATTAATTAAATTGCTACTCAATATAGCTGCTTTGATCCTTGCTATTGCAATAAGGCGGACGTGATGCGACTCCCATCGCAACGTTATGGCTGTCTTCTTTTTACGTGACATCAACTCGGGCCATACATATTATAAATTCATTTAGCCTAAATCCCTGAGGAATTCCATGAACTATGCGCTATTAGAGGTAGTGAGTAAAATCACCTTGCATTTACGGGTAAGCTTTTTTTAATATTCATCGGGGATGGATTAGGGGCTGACGTGTTGTTAACTCTCCTAGTGTCTCAAGCTAGAAATCGTCGCATTCACACCCTATGCCCAAAACCTCACCTAGGATGTAATAAATTGGGTAGAAACGCCGTCTAGTATGCTGCCAAATACATAGTAGCTCTCTTTATATCTAAATATATCTATCCAGTACCTTGTGTAGACAGGAGTGAAATGCTCCGCAAAAATTGTTCCGGGAATGAAGTATTAAACAAAATCCCAATTATATTACAAAATACGATGTTCTGATACGATGTACATCTGGAGGAACTATGAAAAATTAGTAAATTTTCCTGCTTTTTAGCAGTACTGCTATGGGTGCAGCGATGCAATAATTGCTAACTCTCCGTTGTATTGCGTTTAGGGTGAGGTTGGTCATATGAAACGAGACAGGAAGAGGAGGCAAGGGAATAATTAAGTAGGTGATTTATCCAAGAGTTATGGAAAGAAATATCGAATAGGAGAAGCTGAAGGTCGTCAGAAACCCAATCGATAGTAACTTGATGACTGTAAATACAGTCTTTGAGGTTCCTAATATAGTGGATAATGATATTAGTTTAAAGGCAAATTAGTTATTTAAAAAGTAAAACCCAGATTGATTTAGTTTTGTTCATATAAGTTATCTTGAACCAGCTTATCTTGTGACGAAGATATAGAGGCGAATTTACCTATTTGTCCCGAAGAAGAGGAAAGTCAATAATGTCGCTTAATCATATGGTGAACCACGGCCTCTCGTCCTGTTACCAGTCTATGTGGGGTATATGATGAGTTAGCCAGTTATATGTTTATATTATAGATGCATGGACTTGGTGGCGGAAGAAGATGTAGTCCGGCAGAATCGGGCCTTAACATTGTTTTGGGACATAAAGTTTTTTTATTGTTTAGATATAATGTCGATGACATAAATAATGATACCCAGGTGGGTGTGGAGTATATAATGTTGAACAATTTTTTTAAATAGATTTCAAGTATACGTACCAAGATGACGCACAACCTGAATCCTAACCCAATGTTCAGGTTGTGCGCCATCTTGGTACGAATACTTCGGGAGCACCTTTTCTTTAAAAACAATTATTTCATAACTACATGGGTTAGTTTTGCATACATAGTAACATTGCATCTCCTTACAATGTCAGAAATTCATTTTTAGTAGATTAATGGCAGTTTATTTCACTAATATAAGCCAAGATCTATCGACAGCATCTAGCCACTTTCTTTTGCGCTCGTCAAACTACATTTGTGTTGCTGCGGGCATTTCGTTTTCCTTCTTAAAGCTTAGGGACTTAGGAAATATTTTATTAGTTGAAATGGATTGGAATATTCGACCTCGTCTTTCACTCCGAACAAGGCCATGCAAAACCATCCACTGGTATCTAACGATGTGTAACGTGTTTTCTTTTGGAAGAACCGGAACTATTCATGGGAGTATTTTTTCCACTTCTTTACTACTCTCAAACCTTGACATTTTGTCAAACCTTTTTTCCATTCAACCTTTTTTTGAAACATCCCCAACAACCACAATTAATTCTGTCATTAAACTTCCGAAACCAACAGCTAAAATCATCAACAGATGCATTTCACCAAATCCTAAGTAGATATTGCTAAATTGATCTTTATTTTACCATTTTTCATGTAATGCTTTTTGGTAAACCTGTTATCTATCGTAAATACGGCACATTTGGCTATGTTGTAGTGTAACTTTTTTGGCCTCACATTTTTGATATTTGTATTCAGATCTCTTGGCCTTGGGGCTCTGTCAAGCAAAGTTACATATAAAATATTGGTTGTAAGTTGCAAAACATGATCATGTTGTTGGAATAACTCAGCATTTTACCACCCGCATATATATCATTCATTGTCGAGAATAATAAGGAAATCATAAAATCTAAAACCCGTTTTCGTGAATTTTTTATTGTAGCTGAAGCCTCTTATAGTTTATGACAGGGTTTCCTAAAAGAGAACCCCGGCCCCCTTGGAGGCCACTGATCGGTTATCTGGGAGCACGAACAAACAGATGGAAATGCAAATATATATAATAACACTGTATTTTTATAGAAGAGAAGAAGCAAAAGTGTTGAAAGTGTTTGGTAGTTTGAAAAGCATTGGAACATAAGAATGAACTACATTCTTTCCCAGGGATATACTATAAAATGTAGCAATTTTCTCATTCTTGTTCTCGTGATATCATTATCTTTCACTGCGTCGTTGTGATCATCCCGCTGCATAACAATTCTTGCTAGCAAATAATTGACTGTTCTCCACCGAGTGTATATCTGTATATATGTATATTTTTATTTCCTAGTAAATTTGGTGCTTCCGTTGTTTGTGCACCAAGATGGCGCACAACCTGAACATAGTATTGTAACAGGTTAGGTTTCAGGTTGTATGCCATTATGGTGCACAGATTTGATGAAAAACACTAATACAAATATCGAGCCGTAAAAAAATTGCTCAAGGCTGCAAACTCCACACCCATGTAGAAATGATGGGCGATAACCCCAAGATAAATAATAACAAATAAAAAAAACTTTATGTCTGAAAACAAAGTTGGGCCCAAAAAGGCCCCTTATCTGCCGGACTAATGTAACCGACCAGCGGTTACGTGAACCATCCTACCATATGAGTAAAAACCACGGCGAGACACTCTCTTGTGTGCTTGGTGGTGGAGTAAGCCGTAACCACCCTTCGACGGAGAGTAACCCAACAATCATCCCCCACATAATTACACCCCTGGCAAAAACATAAAATCCGCGCAGGGTAATCAGTGATCCATTAGCAAGACTAACGCTTGCAACGATGCTTTAATAAATATGAATTGACTTGTAACCATCGAGTATATTCATAATCAAAATATCCCGAATGTTTACGGTAAAGTTCCTCAAAACAAGGTCTACGACGTCAACTAAAATTGTACTGATAGAAGACTTGCAAGTTTGCTCAAAGCAAGGTCCGGAGTCTAACTAAAAGTAAAAAGAGCGCTGAAAAAAGAGTTAGTTGCAAGCGACAACAGACACGTTCAAAGCATTAACTCTTGCGAGATACCAATAAATATCGTTCAACGCGAGACTGCCTTATATTTAAATCCCATGTGTTCGCAAAATGAATTACATTAACTTCTTTTATTTTGCTATTTCACCTTTTGTTAGCTATGGGACGAATATTATGAATCTTAAAATATTTACATTTGTGACGTTCCAATTGTTACTTTGTTTCGTCACGGATTGTGAGGCACAATCGAATTTATCGGCTGGGCAAATTATTGGAATAGCAGTCGGAACAGTAATGGCGGTTCTGCTCTTGGTGGCGATTGCTTACTTGGTTTTCAGGCATTGGAAAAAGATCGAAGGTATGTATTACATATACGTTTGATAAGTACACTATATTAAGAAGGGTTTAGTTAAGTTTAGCATGATTTTATGTGAAACTGACCCGTAAAACATGAGAGCGCGAAATAGCAGCACTTAGGCTTCAATGTTGAAATGAGATTGTTCTGACCAGAAACGCTCCGTTGATTTTTATTGGCAGAAGAGTACCAATCGTCCTAATATTGACCTGTTCACATTTTAAATATGGGATAACAAAGCGGGATTGATCATGTAATACTTTCATAGCACTTATTTAGGCCTCATTTGAAGTTTTCGCAACTTTACCGAGTTTTCATCTGTGTGTTAACATTGTTTTGTACCAACTCGGAATAAGAAAGAATTGTTTTAACTACTAATTTGAGGCAACACCGTCCAACTAATACGTGTTTTTGCCGCTGTATTTCGTAAGTAAGAATCGTCGGTACAAGTTACCTCGCAAATTGCGCTTCGTTCATTGTTTTGGAACTTACTCTCGTCTCCCTTGGGTACGAATTGCTACCGTTTAATAGTGCTATATATCACATGTTATAAATATCATAATGTCAATAAAAACTTTCTGTAACTCAGCGCATACTGTGCCTTTATGTATAGCTGGTGAGCGGTCACTTGATATTTCTCTGGTTTTAAACTTTTTAAAGGTTTTGCTTCCCGCCAGAATTCTCTATTTTTAATTTGTGTGTATTATGGAGTTCTCAAAATAAACTATCTAGCTTTATACAGGGCAGCTTGCTATCTGTAAGACTATAACTCGAGGTCTTTAGCCCAAAGATTAAAACTTGAAAAAAAATTGTTTGAGGAGATGAGAAAAACGTTATTTCTCGATTTTTAAACTCTGTAACCTTTCAGTGAAATACTTCAGTAAATTTAGCGCAAAATCAGAGTAAACAGCATTATTTCTTGGGTTATTTTAAATAGAATTGTTTTGAAATTTTAACATCCACTCTCTATCAATTAACAATTACTGTTAACATACATTTGGGAACCTTGTTTCAGCTTTTCGCTTGGGCTTATAGTTGATTTTCCGAATTTTAAAGGCGATGGGACAGGTTTAATCTGTATTTGAGTGAATTGTTCTTGCAACATTGCCGAGTGTTCTTGCGTAGCGATTAGAGCAGTCTCAACACCAATTCTGGGTGTATATTTAAACTTCAGTATTATTTCCTATAAAGTTATAAACGCTCTATGGAATTTTTCTTTGTATGCTATCAAAAATTCAGTACTATATTCCCCAATTCTCTGTAATTCAAATTGTTGAATCAAACAATGTGTGCAACTACTCAACAGTTAGAGCGTTTTTCTTAACTGGGTTGGCGTTGAAGATCTCGGGGTTGAAGGTCATGTCCACCACCTCAGACAGAGTGTAATAAATTAGGTAGAGATGCTGAATCGAATGATGCTGGTTCTCACAAAATATATCAGTCGAAGCTTGTACAGCGCCTACTTCGGTATTTCTTAGTGTGTGTACCAGGTTAGGGTTAGGCCATAATTTTATTCCGATTTTCATTATTTTAGGTATATTACGAGTTCGGAGACTGTCTGTGTTAGTCAAGTGAATATACCCCCTCACCATAGGTTTCAGTCCCTTTACGCGACTTAGCAATAAAGTAGGCGAACGAAATTAGTTACCTCCATATTGGTATACACACACATTTGGAGCCCCTTTTTCATAGCGATAATGTGATATCGCCGTATGAAAAATGAAAAATAGTCTTGAAATGCAGATTCAAACTAAATTCGCAGTTACGATGATGAACAGTAGGATTGCTGCATATTTTTGATAGTGTGCTGTTATCAAGTAAAGCATTCGTGCGCATCTTAGAAGCAACGCCTTGATGTGACCTGCTGCTATTCATTGCCTTCAGTGAAGCGTTTCATTTAGCGGTAAAATATTAGGTTGACGAAAAATATTGGAAAATGGGTTCGGACAGGTTATGCGTCTGTGGTTCCAGGTAGAGAAAATGGCGAATAATATTTTTAAGTTCAGAGGTTCTAGGTATTTTGCCTTTTTCGTCGTACATTTGGTTCGATGATCAAGGTGGTAAAGCTATTTCAGCTGTATTTTTGAAGTTGGAGTCAAGATTTATTCTCCGGATTCCAGACTCAGATATTCGAAACGTTGGCTAATCAACTTGGAGGAAAAGAATAGTTGACAAAAAATGAAAAACAATAAAGGAAGATTTTTTGATAGAAATCGTTCGTGAATGGAATTTTTACTTTTGGTGTATTTTAGTTTCTATTTCGCCATTTTCAGAGTGAGGTATTATTTTTAATTTTTTATAGCAGCAAACAATTCGGGAGCTTGCATATTTTCTGAATCCGGAGTCGTATTAGTATATCCGAACGACCCGGAGTAGATTGAAATTTTTCTGAGACTATATTGGTTCGTACAGGTTGTGCAACATCAATGTCTGTAGTTTCAGGTTCGTGAATAGGATCTTGAATTTCGGCGGATTGAAATAATTTCGCCTTATTCGGAGTCAGGTCAGATTGTTTCGTTGCTATTGCTGTATCAATTTCAATTTATGAAACCATAGGCAAAGATCTGGTTTTTACTGTTTATCTTATTTGATCAATAGGTACTTCTGAAGTATGCATACCAAGATGACGGATACCGGAACGTAGTAAGTGTACCAGGTTAGGGTTAGGCCATAATTTTAGGTACTCGAACTCGTAATAGAAGTAAAATAGGGAAATTGGAATAAAATTATGGCCTAACCCTAACCTGTTACACATACTACGTTCCGGTATCCGCCATCTTGGCACCCATACCTCAATAGCACCGATCATTGTTAGTAAGTTAGGCAGAGGAAAGTGTCGCAATCGCCTAACATAACCTAAAATAAACAGAATTGAAGAAAGCAAACCAGAAATTTAGACAGCAATGCGGTAGTAACAAATAGCACTCCAACTCTTATTCGATACTTTCTTTCTCAAAATAAAAGTCAAAATTCTTCCGAAGCGGATTTCTAGCAGCTATGACAAATTAAACTATTCAAAAGCAAGAGTGCGACTTGCGCATAACACTAGCAAAGGATCTATTTAAAGGGTTCTCCTGTAGTTTGTGAACCAAGATGGCGGACACCGGAACATAGTATGTGTACCAGGTTGGGGTTAGGTCATAGATTTATTCGAATTTTCCCTATTTAGTTATATTAGGAGATCGGGGACTAGCCAAGTGACTCCCGTAGTATTTGTACCTGAAATTATGTCCAAACTCTAACCTGGTACACATACTACGTTCCGATATCCGCCATTTTGATTCGCATACTACAAGAGAGCCCATTAAAGATTTCAGATAAAGTAGTTCTATGCCTATTACGAAAGTAATAGAGAGATTCACAATTGCCATATGAACGACGAAGGTTGGGAATCACTGCTTTAGAACAATTACTGACCGCAGTTCACCATATCGTCCTCACCTGCAAAAGACCTGCTGTGCCGCAGACCAGGGCTACTCAACTGGCGGTTCGAATCTGGACCTTTCGACCATAAAATTAGAACCGCGTCTGCTTGTTTATTTTTTTAGCAGCATAAGAATCGTTTTATAGTTTTAGAATTAGATGATTCTGATACAATTTAAATAAACAGCTATACAGTGTGTCGTACTGGTACCGATGTGTGACATTTGTGTCTATATTTGCGAGGTATTCATTGCTGTTGTATTTAATTTAATATTGCATTTGAAGTTTCGTTTATTAAATGAAATAATTTTTTTGTGATGTCCGAACCCCAGTAATTTTGAAGTTTCGTAAACGGTCCTTTGGTGAGAATAGTTGAGTAGCTTTGGCATAGACCAATCACAGTAGCATTGAAATATGGGTTATGGATACGATTGACCGAGATGATCTCTTCTATTTGGTTTTGACGCGGTTTTGTTTGTTTTGTCATTCCATTTTAAATTCGCGATAGCGCTTTATCCTTGTTGACAAATTTTTCCGGCGGACAATACAAGCATTGGGCCCATCCCTACACGTCAAACGCTTTTGAAATTCCGATTTGGAAATTGAAAAAAAAAAACGAAAATTAGCTTGGATTCAACAGTAAAGAAATATCTAAATTTATGAACCTTAATCACGCTTGAGCTTATATGGACCACGCATGGTTTCGAGTTTCAAGACAAATGGGCGAATGTTAAAATGAAAAAAATACTAGTAATTGAAAAATTACAAATAAAAGAATCGAATTTTAAAGCGGTATTCACCAGATTATTTCAATAAAATTTAGAGGAGTTTGAAAATCAAAAATGTATATCTTACTCATTTTTTCAAAACCTTTTTTGGTACTCCTGAAGTATGCGCACCAAGATGTCGCACAACCTGAACCCTAACCTGGTACACAACCTGAGTTCAGGTTATGCGCCATCATGGTGCGCATACTTCAGGAGGTCCCCTTTTTTTAAGTTTCGTCCTTTGGGGTTAAAGACCTCGATGTAAATTTTAGGGTACAGACTTGGCTGGCTTCCTAGTAAGTGCCTCTTCCTGTACTCTGAACAGAGATCTTGACAAGCGACCCCTAAAATGCAGGGGTTGGTGTGTTACTCTAACGTTTGATATCTTTCGGTTTGGGCATATGGTCTAGCTAGCCCGCCAGGTGGGGATTTATTATTTTAACTTAGATAATTTCACTTTGTATTCGCGTGTAGTATTGCTAGTATTGTTTGCTTATTTAGTATTTCTGTAATACGTATTTGCACAAACATTATAAAGTATTCAGACTGTGTAAAAGCCGGAGTGCGAGGATGATCCAATAACTAATGAAAACAAACGGAAACAAGAGTCCTAACGTGTAATGACATTACAAAATCGCTATGTGCCAGTGGTATAGTAATAAAGAGGTTCAAGTGGGAAAGCGAGGAATTTTCATTTTTTTAACCTGGCATTAGTAACTTTGCGTTTCTATTTAGCTATGTCCATCCACCTGGCCTTAACGCCGAGTTCAGCTTAACCTCAAATCACATATAATTTACTAATTTTTTTAGAAGCTTTCCATAAACCAAAGTATGTCAATATTAACGCAGCCACACCCTAACTGTCCATATAATGGACGATTTATGATACTGAGATTGGTTGAGGCTGGTGTGCTAATGTGGAGTCCAGCTTTGACATGTTTTCTACGGAGTAGTGTCGTATTTTCGGAATAGTCGAATTCGCAGCTCAGACTTATGATCGACTAATTACCAAACTAAAAATTTCTTACAGAAACTCAGAAAAAATTAAGTTTACTTAGCGTTCCAAATGTCTATTACAAGACTAGCGTGCGTCAAAGGTTAGGTAACAAATTTCAATTTGCTCGTGAGTGCAAAGCTGGATATAGGATCGATATTCCCTACGACCTGCAGTCGGAAGTCGATGTCAATTTTCCTCCCGGTGTCGGATTTTATAGTAATTTTCTCCAGAATCCATAATCGTAATTAGTTTTAAACTTTTTGTCAGGAGTTAAGATATATTCATTGATGGAGAAAGGCGAGGTCAGCACCCACATGTTATTGACTATCTCCAAAAGTCGTTGCGTGTTTTATTGTCTATTGCCCGCCATGGACTCGATGGGAATAAAAACGGATCTTTAGCACTAATGCAAAGATGCGAGATTGAAAAAAACACCCCCTCCACATTTTGAAATAACAATTTAGTAGTTACCCAGTAAGGGTTGGAAATGATTTGAAAATTTGAATTCTCCGCGCAATCTGCATTCCAAACGATGATCCTAACTGGATAATTACTTATATTTCTATATGTATAAAAGATCCATAAAAACTTATAGAAAGGCGAAATGTCGCTGACTTCGTTTATATTGTAATAACAACATTCCATAAACTGAAGTAAGTCAATAAAAAGCCGCAAGCACGCCCATCCATATATTAAACTATGATGCCCATACGGAAATAGCTTAGGCCTGGTAAGTTAGTCGTAGGCTGTGTGTCCGGAACGACGATGTATTCTTGTAGTGTTGACAGACTCAGCTTAAGTTATTTGATTTAAAACTCGAAATGACTGAAGCCATCTAACGTAATGACTCGATCAACCGCCAGATATTGAGACTATAAAATAATTTTGAGCGAGTTCTCGAAATATAAAAAAAATTTAAATGCGACTCACCATGTTAGTGAATTCACTATCTTTTTGCAGCATCTCAAAATGAATCGTGTCGATGTCGGAGTGAAAATATGATAAAACATATTTTGATTTTCGAAAAAGTTTCACATGTGAATAAATGTGACTCGACTTGACCATGATTCGAAGTTTAAATGTTGTTGCTACTTCGACTTTACTAGGATTCCAGAGGCTTGCCCTTGTCGCTGTAGGGAGGGAGGTAGCCAATGTGAGCGCCTATGTTATGTAAAGTCTATGTAGCATACGAGTTACTGCAATAAAATTTATTTATACGAGAAGCAATAAGATATTGTTTATTGAACTGCAGTGTACTTCATACTTTGAATCCGTATGTGTCCGTTGCCACAAGTATGCTTGAACGAGATGGTATTAAAGTGATTAATAACATGATCTCTTTCCACATTTGTACGCTTTTGTTAGATCAAAGTATAACTTCTTCAGACAAGACAAAATATAATTTAATCAATTGGTCTGAAGGGGTTAGATATATATAACGAAGGCAAGCAAATAATCTTGCTTTTTCGTGGAAAGAGATTATGCTATTCTTATTTAAAATCTCAACCCCGACCTCGATTTACTCTTTGGAAGGACCCGTGCCACGAGTAATGTAAGCCGTATGATTCGGCTAACCGCTTGAAAGACTTTACTTAAGATCCGAAAACTATTTTCCGCAATAAAATATTCCTGTGACATGCGGTTTACGATGCATATTGATGTCGTATAAATAAAAAACGGAAATTCACTGTCTTGTTGCGATAATACCTCAAAACAGACAGTGTTGATACCGCGGTAAATGTTTCCAAGACATAATCAAATCCCAGTTTAAGTATAACGTGGCCTAACAGTGATTCGACTTGAACTCGAAGTTAAAATCGCAGTCTATGGACTTCGTGTCTCAGTTCGAAAAGTCACAAGAACTGTGTGCTCTTAATAAAGAATGTGAATGTATATCATGCAATGATTTTACACAGTCAATAACGTTGATCGACCCGGATCCGGATTTTAGAATATACGGAGTCACGTGTGACGCCACAGAGTTGATATTTATGGCTTGGTTGTTAAGTATCCGGAGCAAAATAGAACTCCATAGCGCTGATTTTTATTCATCCTTTGTATCTGGAAACAGAATGGGTTATTTTATAACATTAACATACGGTCCCGGATATATGGAATTTTTCTTGGACATGTTGTCTGTTATCATGCTATCGGATATTATTGCTGTCATACTGCTATTCTGGATGTGTTTGCGATCACGTGGGTGTGAATTATGAATTTTTTTTTGTATGTCTTTAATTTCGCTGAGTAAATAAGCAGTTAGTGAATATCTTTTCATTGTTCCATCATTTGAAGACATGCATGTATTGTTTGGCCCGACGGTTCGGCGCTTGGCGTTCTGATCGTCGGAAGCTGCTTGCCATGTCACCTTTTATTACCATGCGCGGGTTCGAATCCCGTGGGATGATTATGTGCGAGAGGATTACTGAACTTCTCGTTGCCGTAGGGTGGTTCACGTAACCGTTGGTCGGTTACGGCTTTCCCCACCATCAAGTCCATGCATCTGAAAACAAATAACTAAAACTAATCCAATACCCGACAGGAACTGGCAACCAGACGAGAGGCCGTGGTTCATCATATGGTTCAGCCGTCCTTCTTGTCCTTCCTCTCCCTCGCGAAAATACGAAAAATCCTATTCTTATGTGCGATCTTTACATATACTTGCACAAAGCCTTGTTCACAGTGAACGCATGAAAACGCCTTTTTTCATTTTTTTTTTCAGGGAAACAGAATGGGAGAGTAGTTCATGAAGGGTACGAGAATGTCGTCGCAACTTCATCTGTAGAGAAAAGTAAGTGAAATCAAGAATTCGTTTTTTCTAATTAATCGAAAGGTTTGGAGTCAACCCCAAACTTCTGAAATCCGAATTCAGGAAGTTTCAAAATCCGACTCCATTGCGACTCCAACAACTCCGATTTGACTCCAACATCAGCATAAAACTTCAATTCCGACCCTGCATTATTCGCTCAAATAGCGCCCTATTTTATTCAGTGTTGAGTCATATTTGCTGATTCAGCACTTTTTACGCAGGTGAACTAGAAGCGGAAGCTATAACTGAAAAAGTAGTGGCGACTGTTGCAGTAGAAAGCTCGCATCATCCTCCGGATATAACTACCTCAACTGTTTCCGGGTCTGGAGATGTTCCCCCATTACCACCACCAGTTGAACCTTTGACACCAACAGCGGCAAAGATTGAGAAAACAACTATTGGAACTCAAACCAAAATTAAAGAATTAACTGATAAACAGGTGATGTATGTTTCACTCAGTGAATGTTATCAGAGAAAAACACTCACTGAAAGAGGGCCATAACTGTTGAGAGTCTTTGTAAGGGGGCCACGACTGTTTAGAGCAGGGGTCGGCAACCTTTTGTTGCTCGCGGGCCAAAATAGGGGTTGCAAGTCATTGGCGGGCCGAACATATTTTTAGAAAGTTGAAAACCGAACGGATGATACTTTTTATACTAAAAATCAAGCAGTGATACATCTCTCGAATAGAATATATATTTATTTTCTCATTGCATTGCATTTTCGGCGCCATTGAACCTTTTGCACTTAGCATCAACTTTTCTGCGTTTTGTTGCCATTTGCTTAACTATAATTAAATTATATGCTCATTAAACGAGGAATTGTGAATTATATATTTGTTAGGTTATAATATAATTTGGTCTAAAGAATATATTCGTCAAAACGGATGTTTCGTTACTATAATTCAGTAAAGCGTCGCGGGCCGGATTACGTGACTCCGCTGGCCGTAGGTTGCCGACCCTTGGTTTAGAGTCTTTGGAAGGGGCCACGCCTGTTCAGAGTCTTTGACAGGGGCAACTGATCATCGATATTCAAGAACGACTGCTCTAAGCATTCAATACTTATATATTGTTCTATATTCAGACTGCTACCAAAGCCGAGCCAGAGAAGTCTTCGGTTTCCATACAAACCATCCCGGAACAGCAGGAAAATAGCGGAACTTCAGCGGGAAAACATGACGAAGGGACAGAAACGGAAGAATTAGACGGAATAGGTGAATATTATGGAAAGGTTTCGATCTGCCACATAGACTGCTTGTTTTAGGGCCAAATTCGAAAATATTGTCTTATTTACGATTTTACAGGCGACCTTGGGAATATTGGGAATATCCGGCCGAAGTTAGATCGCCGTAAATCCCGTGAAGATATAACATTTTTATCGGGCTGGCGAAGGACGGTGAAATTGACCGAGTTGATAAGAGCGAAATTAATCGTGGAAGCTAGAGTACGGGAATTGGAAAATGAAGAGGTGAGAAGTTACTATGAAACTCAGCGTTAATTTTGCATTTTTTTTCTAACCAACTGTGCAGTGGGTCCGATACCCTAGTATGGGGATTATGAACCTAATCTCTGTTACGTAGGATAAAATTTACTTATTTATCCCGGGAGATGAAAGAATATAAGACGGCTTAATCCTATGGCGAACCACGGCCTCTCGTCCGGTTCCCAGTCCATGTCTGATATGGGATTAGTTAATCAGTTATGTGTTTCAGATGCATGGACTTGATGGTGAAGGAAGCCGTAACCAATCCTCGCACACCTGATTATTTCCGCATGGTATTCGAGCCTGTCAACCAACGCATTCATAGATGCGGTGGCGAGCGTATTTTTTACGCTTAGCACGATGCGCCATACCGCCGTTCCCTTATAAAATTTGGACCGAACCAAAACCTTATGGTATTTTAATAATTCACGTATCTTTGCTCAGAGATGAGTGTTCTTTACTTCTGAGTAAGTGCACCACCATGATTGTATATCGTTCCAGAAGCTCTTGACATTTCTGTGGTTTCCCTTAACTTTTCTCATAGATGAGTCTTATTGAATACGCGTAACGTTTCATTAAAAATTGTTTTTTAAAAAGAAAAGAAATTTCACTTCTACCTCTGCAGATCACAGTAGAGGAAGTCGAGCGTGAACTTGCTCCGTTTTTGATTGGTCAATATCCGATCGCTGGAATCATCATTGGCGAAACTGAAGACAAAATGTCGCTTTATCAGGCCCATGTAAAAGGGATTATTACCAGAGGTTGGTATGGAAAACGCGCTGTTGCGGAGACTCAAATTATTAATTCAACTAGAGCTGGACTAAAGTCACCATTCATCAAAGACGCAAAGTAATTTAAGTCGTCTGACCCAGTGGTGCGCAACCAGCGGCCCGTGGGCCTAATACGGCCCGCTATGAAAAAATCGTGCGGCCCGCGAAAAAGTGCCAATTCTGAATGCATAACAAGTTTTTAATTTATTTCAATCTGGTACGTGCGAGTAATTCCAATCCTTAACGCTGCGAACCCTATACCCAAGTCTAATTATTATATATGCCTATGACGTTACAATGCCCTAAAACTAGCTTGTGCGAAGCGAACAACGAACGCATGCCATAATATTAATAGGCAAAATTTTTGTGCCTGCAACTACTAGAAAGCCACCCAGGTATTTGTATCCTGCCCTCCTTTATTAAAGGTCGCACATCCTTGATATACACGCGTGTTACTCAAACGTAATTCTCTTGTGGCCCTTTTCAGCGTCAAAAGAAATATTGGGCCCACAAAATATTCAATAAAATTGTTTTCTTATTAATTACTGTAAAAGTTCCAATTACCAAACTAATCCTTGTGTCTATTTATCGTCTTGTCAAGTTGAAATTACAAGCCTTGGTTCATTTCAGCCTTTCATATTCTTTCGACGTACTGTAGGCCCAATGAAAATTTCAGGCCTATCTGAAGATCCTTGAGACGCTTCATTAGTCCTGAGACATCAAGTTGAGTAACCTCGATCTAAATAAATTGACGAACTTTCCGCCAGTGGGAACTCAATTCAGTAATCGACTCGACTCAAGCAAAACTCGCATTATCCTTTCGTTACTCAAAATGACTCCTGGTTTAACGCCTTCTACTCAACACTGGGTTATCTCTGTTATACAGTGTGGGTTTGCAGGTTCGAATATCGTGAGGAGTAATTATGTTCGAGAGGATTGCTAGACTCTCAAACTTTTACTCGTTATCCATGCCCTTCTTTTTTCAGGATTTTTTAAAATTTGCACCCCCCTGCTGTTAAATAACGGTGACCGTACATTTGAACCCATGTACATTTGAACCCATGCGTATATCCAAGGGTTCAATCTATATGCGGGTGCTAAAACCCATGGGTTAGGGTTAGTATGGGTTTAACTATCCGTGAAACAAAAACAAAATTCATAGGTGCAATAGTATGCCGTTCAAATGTAATGGAACCTTAAATAACTATAAGATAATTTTGCGTCTTCGCGGTTTCGTCGGTAAAAAATTTGGAAATATTTCTAAATGTATCCTGTGAAATTTTGAAAATATCTCGATAACCGCCACCGTAATATCAAATAACAAAAAGTCACGCGGTGCCGAAGGCGAGTTGAATTTTACTCTCGGAACCTCGAAAAAATTCGTGGTTTGGGACTTTGAAAGGTGGTGGGGCTTGATGGAGAAATTAGGAGTAGGAATGAAAATCCTAAACAATACTTTTGCACATAATTACACCCCTTAGAACCGGCACGTGGTCTTTTGCTACTTGTGTATTCTTATCTTTCTGGAGGACTACCTACTATTTTATTAGCACCATTATTCGCTCCTTATATCCAGGTACAGCAGTGAGTCTTCTTGAAGCCCAGGCCGCAGTTGGGAGCATAATTGACCCCCATGATGGCCAGAAGATGTCAGTAGAGGAAGCGAAGCTACGGGGACTTATTGACAACAAAATGGCGTCTGTGATTATTCGTGCGGAACGAGCCGTGACGGGGTACAGGGCTCGAGCTACAAATGAAACGTTATCGCTATTTCAAGCCATGAAAAGGGTAAGATAAAAACGAGAATATCGGTCAGAGACCAAAGACTTATCGATCGAAAGTTAGGGGATCCCAAAACAGCGCTCTTACTTCATAGTGACACCTTGTGTCCCATCACTAATTAATTAATAACTCGCTAATTATACGACATAATTCATCCAAAATCAATAGGCTTCTGGTCCGACATATGATGGATGCACATGCAAAATCTGGAGCAGATTCAATCTTGCTTTGGTGAGATATCGCGTGCATCTAACAGACAGACAAACAGCCAGACAGACAGACAAATATCATCAACATACTTACCGAATAAAATCGATGAGTAACTTGTATTGGGTTTAAGCAGTGATTGGGAGCAATTGGCTGGGTCTAGTGACGTTTAGTACCACAAATACTTCTAGTGGACTTGGCATAACCATTTTTCGTTGCTCCCGAAGTATGCGAACCAAGATGGCGGACATCGGAACGTAACATGGGTAACAGGTTGGGGTTAGGCGATAATTTCTTTCCAATTTTCCTTATTTTAGTCCTATTATCAGTTCGAAGACTAGCCAAGAGCCTCCCGTAGTATTTATACCTAAAATTATGTCCTAACCCTAACCTAGTACACATATTACATTCCGATGTCCGCCATCTTGGTTCGCATACTTCGGGAGCCCCTATTTCATATGTGATTCCTAACTTCCACCTGACTACGTCATTCAAAAATTACGTCACTACGAAGTCACAATCACGCCATATAGCTTGCCAAAGTATAGCTACGATCGCCCGAAATGGCACCTGCGCCCGCAATAACGAACTCACTGCGATGAGAAAACGAGAGAAATAATTTGCTCGACCCCGGTTAATCGTATGCGTATTTTGGACGAGCATTTGTATATTTTGTCGGGCTTCACCACGTCACTGTGACGTAATTTTTGAATGACGTAGTCAGGTGAGGGTTAGGAATGACGTGTGAAAAATTTGCGCCACGCTCACTTGAAGTTATTGTGGTACGTAACAACACGAGACCCTAATTGACTTGACTCAAGTCGCCTGGATATAATGGCTCCTACTCAACTATCCGCCGATGAGACTTGTACCCAACACTGGCTTAAGGTCCCTCCCGAGTGGAAAAGACGATTCATTGACTAAATTGACTATTGATTTCGATGAGCGTTAGACTTTGTTAGTGTTGCATCATTGCATGTTAAATATTCCCAGTGTGTAACAGGGTATTGTCCTGCCTCCTAGCATATCCTAACCGAAGCAATACCAGGACAACACCACAGTGTTTATATTTAGCGCACAAGAGAAGTAATATTAAATGATTAACCACTGGTCCCATGTTTCTTTTAGAATCTCGTCGTAGAAAGCCACGGGATTCGTCTTCTAGAAGCACAGATCGCCACTGGAGGCATCATTGATCCACAAGCGAACTGCAGACTTCCGGTTGAGGTTGCTTTCGAGAGAGGTTGGTTGTTTTTATGAGTTTTATGTTTCGCGTTTAGAATATTTACATATTTATCCCGGGGGAAAGAAAAGCCGTTGAAACGGCCTAACCATATCATGGCGAACCACAGCCTCCGGTCCGGTTAGCCCGGAATTAGTTTGCCAGTTATTACGTGAAACACGCGGTTACGTGAAACACCCTGTGGCGGCGAGGAGTCCAGCAGTCTTCTCTTGGAACTGTATCATATAGCGAAGGCATATCTGGTCATCCAATTGGTCCGGATCGGGGTGCTGTTCTATTATTGCAGGAACAATTGGGTCAGGTTTGGGTTATCAACCCACCTTTCTACGTTTATCTTAGTGGGAAATTGCTAGCGAGATATACAGAGAAACGTGCTAATACAAGATAAGAATCCAACAGATAACAAAATAGTAGCGGGTTTATTCCAATATACATGAACTTGATGATGTGAAAAAAAAATGAGGAATTCACCTTGAAGATTAGCGAAAGATAAAAACAAGATGGCGGCGATTCGAAATTTGGCTCTGAACCGATTCGAATAATTTACTATTCGATTCGATTATTCGATTCGAAATGCCCAGCCCTAGCCACTGATACAAATATAACAAATTATATCGGTAGTCCTCAAACGGTGGGGCGTGCCCTACAAGGGGGCGTAGACAATTTTTGAGTGACGTGAAGTTAATTGAAAATATAAATATTTGTTAGATTTGATCTTGCCCGCCTTATATTGGATATTCACATTTCTTTATTTTAAATTTATACGTTCCATCCACGTATTTTCAACGTGTTTTCAAATAAAACATACTTTCGCCTTACTATCTGTTATTTATAGCTTATCGTTACCTAGTTATTTTTGAGGTGGGGCGCTAGACAAATTCTAAAAAGTCGGCGAGGCCTGAAAAGTTTGAGAACCACTGCTCTAGAAAATTAGAGTCCGTGTTCTAGAATAAAAGAGACCATTTCTTCTGAAAAAAAGTGAACTCCGGATCCGGAATATTTCAAATGACATCTTTTCCTAGGTTTATTCGACGAACGGCTTCACCGCATCCTAGAAGACCCATCTGACGACACAAAAGGATTTCTGGACCCGAACACAAGCGATAACTTGACATACCTTGAACTGATACAGAGATGTGTTGTGGACGAGGAAACGGGGCTTTTGCTTCTTCCTCTTGTACCTGAGTCGGAAAGGAGGGAATATAGCGAAAGGTACGGTGCTTATCTTTGAATGGGTCTAAAAAAGGTAATTTTTCTGCGTTCCAGAAGTGGTATATTCACTTGGCCAACACGGTTAGTCCCCAAACTCGGATAGAACTAAAATCGGAATAAAATTATGGACCAACTCTAACCTGGTACACACACTACGGGAGTACCTAAAATAAATTAGCATATTGTTGCTCGCTTCATTTAAGTAAAGGTTATGTATACTTGTCGGGAGAATCCATTACAATAAAAAAGTCACATACAATTACATATGTTCTAAGTATTCGAGATTCGTTTCGATTCTGAAATCATCAGGTATCCGAAAATTCCCGACCTTACCTGCAATACCAACGAGGTCAAGTTGAACGCTTTCACCCTTTCCTCTCCTCATAAATATGAATTCCAGTTCTTTTCAGAAGTAAAGTAATTTCATTTCATATATTTCAGACATGCTTCAACTTCGACATCAAGCCGATCTCGCACTTTCTCAAACCAAACGTTTTCTTCTGGAGGAGGATCGCTAGGTGGCGTAGAAGATCTTCATGACACCCCCACCGCTAGTCATTAATGTTCTATGGTTTGTTCCGACAATAAATGACAAAGAAGGATAATTAGGAACACTGCAAGTATGCGCGTAGGAGGCGAAGTCGAACCGTAAAATATTCCAGCGTAAGGGTTCTAATACTAATACAGTGTACGGAGGATTCCACGCGGAATATTTTGAATCTAAAAATATAAAAATGACAAATAACTAATCAACAAATCCCATACCCGACATGGACTGGTAACCGGACGAGAGGGCGTGGTTCGCCATATATTTAAGTTCTAATCCTTTATATCCTCGAACTGACAAGAGGCTGTGCTGGTATTTGTCATATGATTGACTTCCCTAACTCCCGGGATAAATACCGTATATTACTCCTATCATATAAAACAAAGAATCAATTTTAAAGCCTCTTAATGGGAATCAAGATTGAATTTTATTTGGATCAAATATTCCATGAAATAATTCTCGAGGGAGGGTTTTTATTGGGTAAAATTCGGCAAATAGTCGAATCATCTAATTTGAATCAATATCTGTTTGAATTGTTTTCGCAATTTCACTGGATTAATAAATCTATTTTACACCCGTTGTGATCAAATTAGATATTGAAAATTTAGGAATAAGTATATAGGTAATATCCTTCTGGCGAAAAAATCAATCTTTAACCACTGAAAATTTCGAAGCAACTGGTCCAGTCGTTAATTAGAAAAGCAATTTTTTCACAACAAGAAGAAAAGAAATACTAACAAAGAGATCAACAACAACAAAATAGCAAAACGATCCACAGGTCCACTTCGTGTCCAATAAGAAATATAAACATGAAGTATTAATTAAACGTTAAGTGTTCCCTGGATTCAGATAAAACGAAGCTCTTAATATCATCATTGGACTATATATTTGGGTAGATAAAATTAGTGTCCAATAATAGGTTGGCATCGGTGGCCTGAGGCTGCACCCATCAGACATCACTATATTGCGGCATCTCACGCTATCTGTGCCATGAAGTCGGGGTTTGGCATATTTTCACAGAATCCGAAGTTGTATTTTCAAACTTGTCGAAATTTCAAGCTTTCAATGATGAAACGAGAATATCGGTCAGAGTCCGAAGACTTATCGATCGAAAGTTAGGGATCCTCAAAACAGCGCTCTTACTCCATAGTGACACCTTGTGTTCCATTACTAATTAATCAATCCCTCGCAAAATATACGACATAATTCATCCAAAATCAATAGGCTCCTGGTCCGAAGTTAATTATGGATTTTCTCCTACCTAAAGCCCTGCTTATTGTCTATATCAGGGGTTTCCACACAGAGATTGAGTACAAGGATATTCTTTCCATAACTTCTAATCTTCCTTATGTTAATAACTTGAAGACCTGAGTTTACGAACTCATTTTTGGAAAGTCACATTTTACACCGCTAGAAGCTTCAGCTACAGTAACTAACAAGTCTACTTTCGTAGTTCACATGACTTGTTTTGTTCAATTACAACACGTAGTACAATTTTGGGGGTACATGAGCGGATCTTAAATCGTCCAAAGGATTCCCAATGAACAGAAAGTTTGCGGAACCCTCGTTACTTATCGATTTTAATCTTTGTCTGTCTGTCTGTTAGATGCACGCGATATCTCACGAAAACGAGATTGAATCCGCTCCAGATTTTTCATGTGCATTCATCATATATCGGACCAGAAGCCTATTGATTTTGGGCGAATTATGTCGTATAATTAGCGAGTTATTAATTAATTAGTGAGGGGACACAAGGTGTCACTATGAAGTAAGAGCGCTGTTTTGGGGGATCCCCTAACTTTTGATCGATAAGTCCTCGGTCTCTTACCGATATTCTCGTTTTATATCTGAATGCATAGCCTTTTTATTAGTCACGGAGTGAACCTGTAAATATTGTTTTCTCTGCAACCAATTGATTTACGGTGCTTGGAGATTGAATAAGTCGATAGAAAGCTACAACTTTTTTTTCAAATTCCTTCCAAGTCCCAAAGCTACCCAATATCTCATCTAAAAAATTTCTGTTTTCTTTTGATTGATGGGAACACTTTTATTCGACAATTGACCTCATGGGACTTGTGTTTCACCCACTTCGCTGTTTTATTTGAATGTTATTTTAACACTTCTCACTTATTTCTTAAAGGTTCTATTTACTCATGACATTAACACCATATACAACCATCACATACAACCGCATTTTCTTCAATTTTCATTTTATTTGCAAATCTGTACATTTTCAAGAAAAAAATGAGAAAAAAGCAATGGCGGGAAAATTCAATTTTTGCACTTTTTTGTATCCAATTTGCTTCCCTGGGCCGCGTTTGGCCTAACATAATATTATGTTCGAATTATCCTTGGCCATGGATAAATATTGTTCGTACTTATCGAAGTATCATAAGTATTTGCAGACGACTAAACAATAAATTTAATAAACAAACAAACGTATAATTATAAAATATGAAACAGTTTTTTTTTGCCTTTTTTTTTCAGAAAAGGGGGTTTGTTTGAGGGGGTATTTGAATCCATTCGTGGCGACATTTGCAGGATAATTCCTCAATTATATGGGTGAATTTAAGAAATGGGGCAGGGGGTCATTAGTTGGAGTAATAGTACGGATTCAACTCTTACAATTCAATACCCGTCCAGGACGTTTTGAAGAGAATTTACCCAAAGCTCAGAGGCTCATCTCTGAGAAAAGCTACGAGCACTACTCATATACAAAGATCTACTGAAAATATATAGAGTTATGGCGGCTCCGTAATTAACGATAACAAAAAGGCAGAAATTCAAGAAAAAGCAATTTGGTATATAAAATTCTGACTTTATACGCTTGAATGAACAAAAAATCGAAAAAATACTATTTTGTACGTTTTGTATTTTTGATATGACGTCATAGGCACTTCTTCGCAAATAATAGATGACGTCATAAAATACTAAAACGCGACGTAACAAACGAAAAAGCAACAGTTATAGTGACGTAACAATAAACATGACGTCATGTAAGGAATGACCTTTATGCAAATTATTGTTGAAAACTGTTTGACCAAGCGTGAAAAAATAAGAATACAGGGTTAAAATGAACACACAGTTACACTACGAAATATACACAGTAGTCACCGGGCCAGCGGAGAGATAATATTTATGGTACAAAAAGATATAAACAAAAGCTGGTCCAGTATTAAAAGTAGGAGAGGAAAGTTAAGAAGAACGTTTTTACATACGCTTTTTTAATGGCGTTCCAATAAAAAATGCAATCGCTCACAAACCAGGGCTCATTCAAGTCCCACGGTATTGGAAAGAGATGAGTGCATGCCCAGACCCGGGAAAAAACGAAACCGGATAATCCACAATTCCGAATACATTATGAAATAATAGTTTCACAAATGAAATTTTCAAAATTGGAACAAAGAAGTCTTGGCCGAGAACGAATAATTTCGTTAAATCGAATTTATTATTCCGAATATATCCTGTAGTAATATTTTCGAATTATTCCAAATGTGGTGTCCAACAGTAAACCAGAGTCAGTACATATTCAATAAATTTAGATTTGGAAACACGAAAATATCATGAGATACAAAGAACAGAAACAAAGTTATCAATTATTAGATCGTTTTCTAATTGATATCAACTGTTACCCACACATTCTGTACATTGAACGAATTTGAAATTGGAAATGCAGAAAGTTGATTCAAACAGTATTGGCCATGCAGAGCCAGATTGCATAATTTTGTAAAATCAAATTTACCATTCCAACTAAATTCTGAAATAATTTTTTTGAATGTGAGAAAAGGGTCATGTTCAACATAAAACATTCGCATATTGAACAAATTTATAGGAATCAAAACTGAAATGAAAAATATTTGTTTTAAACCGGATTTCTGTATGAATCGGCTACGAAGTTTTGAGTTGACTCCGCGACACCCAATACATTATGAAAATCATTTTGAATATGAAATATTGAATATATTCTGAAGTAAACCATATTTAACAGAGATACTGAAAAATTGATTTTGTTTTAGACTGGATACGGACATGAAATTTTAAAGGATCCGGATATGAATTTTTTAGTCGACTCCGGCACCACAGCAAAATAAAATGAAGCCACAATCAGACCTGCTGAATGAGGGGTCAAAGCATCTTAGTTTAGGTATGGCCAGGGTTATATTGAGCATGAATATACCAAGCATATGTATGGCCCACGCTTGGACGTTAGATTATTTTAAAATCATTGATCATTTAAAATAAGATTTTTTGTTACAGTACCCCCCTCCCCCCATAAAAAAATTAAAATACATAATAATAAAAAACACGCACTATTACATTCTGGGATAAAATATTTTGCTGAAAAGTACCATATAATATAATAACCAAGATCTATTTATTATTAAAAAAGGGGGAACAAAGGGGAGTTCACACTCCGAAACAGGCTCTGAGCAGTCTACCATAAAAAGAACGCTCATGGGGGTTCTCCGGATATCCGGTGGTGGAATTTTAGATTTACAAAGTGGAGAATTGAAATCGAAATTTGGGATAGGAGCTAGAGAAAGTCTGCATACAGCAAGATTTCTTGTAATTTAAATTTGGTTTTACCGGAGTCAAATTTTAAATCCGAATCCGGAATCTAATTTTTATTGATTAGGAGTTGTACGGAACATATTCATGCTTACCCGGTCTGGATGAAAAAGGCCACTGGATAGCGGAACAATTTTAAAAACTCACAAAATTGATGAAAAACAGCACTTTTCGAATAAAAAAAGTCACAGAATCCTATGTACATCATAAAAAACTCACAGGACAATAAAAAAGTTTGTACAATATCAAAATTTAGGTTTTTTTCGTGGAATTAAAACCAGAAATATAAAGTTTTCAATTCGCCCATTTTTGGTGGTTTTAGAGACTAACAAGCATTTTCAAATTCCAGTTTAAAATTCTTTTGCAGTTTAGAATCAGGTCTCAAAAGAATTCAACTTTAGCAAACCTCCAACTTTTATTTATAAATTAAAATTGTTTTTTTTATCGACTTTAAACTCTTTTTAAACTCTTCAACAGTACGGCATAACCATTCGAATTTTCAAATTCCTTTTCCTAAAAATATCGTTTCTGACAAACAAAAAAAATCTATACTTTTTAACAATTTTAGTTTCGAATTCTCCTTCATTTAAAGTTTTGGAAATTCCCAATAATAATGAATTGCAAATATTTCTATACATTTTGTCTTCTTTCACACAATGTGATTTCTGACTATAGCCAAATATTAATAGAAAAATTACAAAAAATTCCAAGTTTCTGGTAAAAACACGTAATTTGGTTCAAACTTTTCAAAATAGTAAAAGTTTTGGGTAAAAGTCACTGATTTTGAGGATTTTCGTTTCAGCACCAGATTAGTATCAATAAATTAATAAAATTTGTATAAATTAGAATCTAGGGGAGGGATCAGAGGAGGAATAAAAATTGGGCGTCAAGTTTTTAACTAACTTGCCAAGTGATATAGGTTGTGGTCAGAGTTTTGGGTGATAAAACCGGATTTATTCCGGATGTGTAGTGCAATGTTCTTTGGTCTTGAGACCAATTCAGAGTTGTATTACTATAATCAAAGTACTCTGCTCTATTACAAGAGCGTTAGTTTTCCGGATTTTGGGGTTGGACTCGGAGTCCAGATTGAAACCGGATTTGATTGATCAAAATATTGCTTTGGTCTTCGGTTGTGGAAGGAGTTGTCATCCTCATCCGCTAGAGAGCGCTATAGAGTCACTTTTACATGAGTGTTCATCAGCTGTTTTGCGACCTCAAAACGATAGATCCGGGAACCCCAAATCTGGTAGAAAATCCGAATCTAGAAGATCGGAAACTTCGGGTGTGAGTTCGAACGAACCGAATTGTGATTCGGGTTGACGTGGATCGTGCATTCCCACGCGAGATTGTAGCGTTATTTGGTTCAGGTCGAATCCCACAGGCTCCTGTAAAAAGAAAAAATGTATTCCAATCGGGCATTTTTTCAAATTTTTCCTCTTTAGGAAATTTCACTTTAAGCAAGGTCTCGGAAGTAAAGTGCATTCATCTCTGAGCAAGATCACATACACTCATTTAAAAGCAAAATCGATTCCGAAGAAATATAATGGAAACGACTGAAACTATGGTGCATTACGCGAACTAACTTAGAAGTGAAGGAGATTCATCTCTAATCGAAGTTAGACCATTAAAGTGCCAATGTTACAGACGATCATTGAAACGCCTAGAGATACTGGAACTATGTAGAATTAAACTGGTGCATACATCCCAGCAAACGCCGATTGACCCAAAACTTGCATTAGTTTTACCAATTAAAGATCTTTTGCCACCTTTAGCGCGACTAGACAACAAAGAAATTAACAGCAGCGAGTAAAAGCAATGAAGGCATGATAACTTGGCCTCGCGGTATGGCTCGGGTCCAAAAATCATTTTGGAAACTTTACCCAACCTTTGCGGTCGCGCTAAAAGCAATATTAGACAGAAATGGCGAAAAAGGACTAAATTACACAAGTTGATTTCAACCAGGGTTCTGGCAGTACAGCCCCAAATCCGAGGGTCTATAATATATTAATACATGTATATATTGCAAGGCAAATTCATTATTGCTGCGGTATAATAGAACAACTGACATGAAATAGCGAAAATATACAAATAAAACTTTAGTGCAATACACAAAGAGGTGAGACACAACGACGATATGTACAATAGTCAGTTTATGGAACGTCCATGTCCCAGATTCCAACGTGAAAGTGGGGCGTAAATTGTATCTCTCGAGTCTAGAACAGGGGTGAACAAGGTTTTTGAACCTGGGGCCAAAAGTTTTGCCTATTAGACTGGCGGGCCACGTAAGTGTGACGTAAAAAGTTACATTTCATGAACAATAATAAATGGTTACAAAAGCAAAAGTGAAAAACGATGAGCCTCGTGCTAAAACCAAATTTAATCGCAATGTCAACAAATTCCTTTGGTCTTTTTTTTGCTAAAACATCAAAATTTGGTTGTGGCAACATCAGGCGGGCCAAAACGAATTATCCAACGGACCGGATTTGGCCCGCGGGCCGTAGTTTGCCCTTTTAGCTCTGGAAAGACCGAAATCGGTCCCTTATCACACTTCAGATCAGCGGACGGGTGGATTTGATTTGAACCCGCGATATTTACCGGCGATGCCAATATTTCTAACACAAACACTCTAGCTGTAATGTTTCAGGAAATCTACTTTATGTGTAACATTAAATATTTAACTCAAACAAACAAAACGACGCCAAAAAGTCTACAACGCTTAATTTTCCTCGGAAAGTGACAAAGTATTTCTCGAAATCCAGCGGACATCTAACTGAGCGTGTAAAGGTCATAAAAGCTATAATTAGACTTACTTCGAATAATTCACATACACGAACTACGTCAACTATACTTATTATATAATTTCAGTGGGCGGACGCTATCGAAATCATAGTTTAGGTGAGTACTGTGAATAAGATAGACAAGGACGTCAACAAAATAAATTGAGAGAGAGCCCTTTAAAAGGCGGAAGTGAACGAAAAAAAAATACCCAGCCCCAAAAAAGGCGGACGTACGCGAAAAACGAACCCAGCACGCCAATAAGGCAGACGTGAACGAAATGAATCGTATCAAACGCAAAACCGTTCAATTTTGAGTCAAAATATATCGGCCGCGAACGGAACGTTGTAAATCGATGAACCCAGAGCTGGGTCATTTATTTTGCACGCTTCGTTGCACAAGGAAAGGAAACCGAAATCTCTCGTTTTCCATATGTTGCGCCGGGTATGCCAGTCCAAAGTACGGACAAATTAACCCGTTGGTCACCGCGTTGAAATTATCAAAGACAAAATAAAACTGAATCACCGAGTAAATAATAACGTTTCTAAATTATATTATTTTTTATTTATTAGCGTTTTCAAATTATAAATCCTAGAATGTTTTTGAAATAAAAGCGGCCAATCAAAATCGAGCGTGGATATTTTTGGGGAGCACATAATATAGTGTAAAAAATTAAATTTAATAAATAACAACGAATGACCGTTCAAATTTTTAGGTAATTTGGGTAAAATTACTTTTCAATCAAAGCAGCGGGGGCGTTATTAAAGAAAATAATAAATTTAAAATTCAAAATTAAATTCCTTTTGGTTGACGAATTTTGGCATGTCCATTATGAGGTCAGAAAACAATTCGAATATTGGTAATTACACTCTACCGAGTATGGCCCAATGATGTGGCGTGGATGTAGAGTGAGTTTTTTTTGTCGTGCCAAGCAAGATAGCTTGTACTCAAACATTGATTTTCTAATTTGACACGTCCATTACATTGTTATGTAACAGATGGCTTCCTGCTGGCCTAGCGTTCACAGATCTGAAGCCCAAATGCTAACGCAGCGAAATTAGAAACTAAAGAATTTGTATATTTTGCCCTAGATCGACTATGATGAGTGGACTTTATGCAGTCAGTATATGTGTGTGTGTGAGTGTTTTTATTTGGATGGCTGTCTGATTTATAAATTCTTGGTTAGGGTAGTTACCGAGGAAATAATTTATGAAACATCGCTTCTAAAACTGAGCCCTCGTCCCGTAGTGGGCCACACGGCGGTCTCTAGAATAAGCCGGAAATTTTCAATTTTTTATGAAAATACCGCCTATACCACTAAAGACTGCAATAAAACAAAACGTAAGATATTTTAAACAAGCCCTGTAAATAATCGTATTCGAATCAACAGCTTCTAATGAAATCTCGAGGCAGAGCGCTAACGATATCACTATTTTAGACTCCGACATATAGGAAATATATAAACAGTATGATTTACACATTTTGTTTCTTGGTTAAAATTTTACTCTACGTTTACCAAACACATGGTGACCATTGTACAGTAAATACTGCTTGCTAGAAAAACTGATTGACCTTTGTCATACCGGAAGTATTTATTTCCGTATTGCCAATACTTCGGGTCATAGCGTGAGTATAATCTGAATTGTAAACCAATCAAAAGTCGAGCCAATGCATTTTTATTCATAAAATACGTTGAAATTAATCGCTTTTCAAAGTATATGACTGTGGTCGAAATGGCTTATTTTATAAAATCACGCCTTAGTGTGGATACCTCGTAAAAGCAATACCCATCTTAACGCGATCAACAGCGATTCGTAAATTACAAGGAAACAAAAGATTCGGTGAACCCCGCGTTGTCATGACAACAAGAACCATTCATCAAATCTCGAGTGGAACTTGTTAGTTGTAGACGAAACAGTTACTGGCGCTTGAATAAACAAACAGAAGTATGACTCCGACACTTAGATGTTAAGAACACTTGAGAAGTTATTAAAGTGCTATCGCGAACATGCTCAAGGGTTTTCGAGATCTTTAGTCAGATTAACTCGTTTACAACAGACATGTTCATTTGTGTGATGAATTACAATCTGATTCGAATTTGCTACGTCACCAATTATCCGACCTATTTCTTTGATTCTTTTTATTTTAAATCAGGATATGTTTGAAGTTGGGGCATTGCCAATCATAACTTGAATGATCAGCATCAGAAAAAAAAATCATGTAAACCATAATTTAAGCCGAAATTTGACTCTTTTTCTTGCTCAGAGCAATGTTCCACGTACTCGCTCAGAAGTAAAGAAGACTCATCTCTGAGCAAAGTTACGGGCACGCGCTCAGAAGTAAAGAAGACTCATCTCTGATCAAAGATTTTTTTCCTAGGATTCGTCAAAATCTTACATCAAACATCCAACTATACTAATTCTGATCCTTTTTTTTTGCATGGAATGCGCTATAGGGTTAACATCAATTTAAAGTAAAATCGGAGAAAGACATCTGGCGAACGTCCAGCGTCAGTGAAAAATAACCCTTTAAGAACCCATTTAAACGACTTTAAAAACTAAAGAGCCACGAACGATAGATTACGCCAATAGGAAGAAATGTACTATTTGAAAACTGCATAAAAAGTAAAATCTTAAATCAAGCAATTAAGCTACTCTGGAACTGCTATTGCCCGACACTGATTTTATTGCTAATGATTTGGTTTCTGGGAGACTAACTACTTATCCTTCTTCTATGCTTTTGTATAATATAGTGCAAGGATGCTGTAGCAAGAGTAAAGATAACTATCCTAAGTGATTCAAGATTCAAGATTCATACAAATCCCTAACCGAACGTAAGATAACAATATCGAAAAATTGGATCATAAAATTAGTATCCCAGGATTTTTATTTTACGTATTCAGGCCTGCTTGTAAGAAACCTAAGAGCCTTTTTGACAGAGAAATTGTCAACCACCTGAAATACAGGTTCGAATTTTATAAAAAATTTAGGAATTTTTACGATTTTTTTGAGATATATAATATAATTCTGTGGAAGTCTTGTCCTAAAAGATTAATCTATGAGATAAGATCCATATATAATATGAAGCATCGGACCGCATTAAAATTTAAAAGCAATTCGACACGGTTGCCCACGGGGGTTCCCGCTCTTTTGATGTTAGTTCGTTCGCGTCCGCTTTTCAAAAAGCTTTATCAGTTTTTATTGATTTTTGGGTCGAAAACACCAAACATATCGATTTTGCGACGTTTCTTGATAAATTTCTTAATTTAGTCAACCAGTACCTAAATATTTGAAAGTAAAAAGAGCGCGAAAATGTAATTTCGTCACAATACATTGTTCGTATTATGCATTGTCAGTCATAATGGGATTTTAATGTATTTGTGACAGCATTGTTACATCACAAAATACATCGGAAATGTTGAATCAAAATCAAATTGTTACGAAACAGGCATCCTAATTAATCTTCGTATACTTGAAAAAAAACACCGGAAATTTATTTCAAAATGAAAGTAATTAGTTATGGATCGATACTCTTAATCGCTTTTTGGCGCGAAACCTTGACGTTGATCCTTTTTGATTACAAAGTATTCATAAAGGATATTACGTCATAA